GGATGTAAGAGCCAATTCAAAAGTTTAATTATACCTCGACCAAACCAAAACAAAACCCCTGTTTGTTTTGCAAATCCTATTGGAAACTTCCAGCTGGCCCTCTCTCTGGGATCTGACTTCCTGCCATCCAGTCCTTCCAAATATAAAAAGACTTCTGGAGATGCAAGGTCTGGAGGCCAATCACCATTAGAACAGATGGCAACTAGGAAAGTACTTTCTTTGGAAGGTCAAAGAGTTTAGAGGACCTGCAGGCGGAAGTAGACCAGCATCGCTGTGTCGACAGCACTCTTCATGAACTTATTACTAATGTAGAAATTGTAGTGTGTGTATGTGTGTGTTTGACTGAGTCTCAGGTGGCCAGGTTGGTCCTGAACTCCTGAACCTCTGGCTTATCTCTCCCGGAGTGCTGAGATGACAGATGTGTACCATGCCACCACACTTTGTTGGTTTGTCGAAAGCACAGTATGAGATGTCAACTCCTCCTGCTGGTTTTAGGTTGGCTTCCTTGTCTCTAAGTTGGCTTACGGTGTATTGTTGATTTTGAATTCCAGAGCAATGAGGATGGCCTTCTCCAGGTCCCGGGTTGTGAATGGGCAGTGTTCCGATTGGCACATCCTGGAGTCATCACTCAAATCGAAATCGATACGAAGTACTTTACAGGTAAACCTCAAGTCAGACAGAACCTAATGGCTGGCGTGTGCACTGTATGGTAACAGGTTCTGTGGGAGCCGGACGAGGTTTTGGTCTTCCCACTCAGCCCTGCAGCTTTGAGGACGGTCACTCTATTTCTGTCATCCACTGTCCTTAGAGAAGTCCTATTTGGCTGGGTGGCTCTGAAGGTCATCTTGTTGAAAGCTATGAAAAGAGGAAGGTTACAACTCTAAGACAGAGCTTATCTTGACTCTCAAGACTGTGACCCAGTGACGTAAAGAGACAGGCCTGTGACCCACATGGGATTCCAGGTGGCCGGTAGGCAGGCTCCTCTTGGAAGGTGCAAGAGCTCTTGAGAAAAGCAGAGAGGGGGCCCAGTAGTAAAAAGAACTGGGACAGCAGCTGGGTTAGTTTATACTTGCTTTCTTATGAAATACATATGTTGCCCACTGTATTAAGAAAACCAAAGAGGTTACAGAAGTATCTGTTGGGTGAGCAAAGTGTTAGGTTGGGCATCTCACGATTGTTTAACTGTCTTTAACTGATGGTGGTAGTTTAGGTTCATGTTTTGGATGGTTGGGTTTTTTGTTTTTTGAATGACTTCCAAATCATGATTTTTCATATTGATTCTATGAAGGCTCAATAACACAATGAGGGTCAGGTTCCTTAGTGGCTATAAAGTGTTTTCAAATGTTTATATTTTTTGCTCCCTTTTAGTAGGCTGCTGTTTATTTAGCAGGTGGTGCGTGTGTGTGTGTGTGTGTGTGTGTGTGTGTGTGTGTGTGTGTATGTGTGTGTGTGTGTATGCAAGTGCATGGGAGTCACATGGAAAGACCACATTGGAGATTGTACTGCTGTCTTCAATGATCACTGAGACTGACAAGCTTATCCCGAGGGGCAGGTGACCTGCCAGCTCTTTTGTGTATGCTTGAACTTCAATAGCATCTTTAGTTCACGCTTCTCTTCATGACTGGTGCAGGATAACCTATTTGTTTGCACGAGAGAGTTTAGCCAAAGGCAACAGGCAATAAGCAAGCAATTTAGTTTTGCAGTCTGTGATGCTTACTAAGTACATTCAACTTTCAAGGTGTGACTGTGTCCAACGAATACACGGCTGTTTCTCGTCCCTAGGAACCGCACACTCCCGTACTCCACAAGTCCAGCTCCATCTTTCCTTTCTTCTGTACTATACTTTTTTGCTTAGAAAGAACTCTGGCTTCCTCTTGATTTTTGTTGTTGTTTTGTGGTTCTGGGAATCAAACCTAGGGCCTCGTACACACTAGGCAAGTATTCTGGGCTTTGATGTGATTAAATTGTCTGTATCCTAGAAACTGAGCTATGCTGAAGGAAACAGTTCTCAAGTTTCTGTCTGCTCCCACAGGCAATTCTCCTGACAGCTGCAAAGTGGATGGGTGTGTCCTCACCACGCAGGAAGAGGAAGACATGGTCAGGCACAAGTGGGCTCTTCCTGCTCATAAGTGGAAGCCATTGCTTCCGGTCACCAAGGTTCGTGGGGTGCAGTTTGAGGACTTACCCTCAGTCTCTGGAGGAACTGGGGACCTGGTATATCCTCTGCATCTCCCCACCACTGATCTTCACCCCTACACATCTCCCTACTACTGAGCTCCACCCCTACACATCTCCTTACTATTGTGCTCCACCCCTGCAACATCTCCTTCCTACTATTTTCCATCCCTATATATCTCTCCATCACTTAGCTCCACCCCCACCCTTCTCCCTACCCGAGCTTCACCCCTACACCTCTCCCTCTATTGAACTCCACCCCCTACACATCTCCCAACCACTGAGTTCCACCCCTAGTCTCTTTTTATACTTCTAGAGGCAGAGTCTTGGTGAGTTTTGCAGGTCAGCCTTGAACTTATAATCCTTCTACCCCTGCCTCCCAAGCAGCTAGGCTTTTAGCTCTTCGAATGAACTTTCCTAGAAGTCTTCGTTCAGTTTAACAGTAAAATGGATGTACTGTAAAAAGCCACACCTATGTTTTCACAGGGGAGGATGGACTCTGTGACTTTTGCATGCCTAACAATCAAAAATTTTGTTAAAACAAAACAAAAACCCATTGTGTGCTAAGAATGCATACACAGGCAAGTGTTCCTGTAGTACATTTACTTATCTGAAGGGTGCCCAGCACACTTAAAGTTGTCATGCTGTGCCCATCTGCAGGATGGACACCCTGATACACACTAGAGTGTGTTGGACCAGGGAAGTGGTCACCATGGGTGTGGTGAGGTTCTGTAGAACCCTGAAGACACCGGGTTACCTCCTCTTTCATTTGATTAGTTCATCTACTTCCTAAGACATACCATGACACTGGAACATGCATACCATTGTCACATAGGTATCCTTTTCCCATTAAGCAGATTTCTGTTAGATCAAATAATTCCTGAAAAATGTTTTTTGTTTGTTTGTTTGCTTTTTTCGAGACAGGGTTTCTCTGTGTTGCTTTGGAGGCTGTCCTGGGACTCACTCTGTAGACCAGGCTGGCCTCGAACTCACAGAGATCCACCTGCCTCTGCCTCCCGAGTGCTGGGATTAAAGGCATGCGCCACCAACACCCGGCTCTGAAAAGCATTTCTTAAAGTCCCATAAAGGCCAAGCTGGACTGACTTTACTAGAGGAGTTATATCCTCCTACAAGGACCTTGCATCTGCCTTTTTTCCAGTTATATCCCAACCAAAATCACTTGTTGGAAAGCCTGACCGTGGAGCTCCAGGATGTCATCACGCATGCCAGGCTTACCATCGCCCCTGATGGGGGTATAAGCCGCCTTCGGCTCAGGGGCTTCCCCAGTTCCATGTGTTTGCTGCGGCCCCTCCGGGAGAAGCCCATGATGAGGTTCTCTCTGAAAGCAGGCTTCAAGGCAAATCTTTAAACAGCTCATCTATGGTAGTAGTCACCCACCATCTTTCAGTGTTCCGAACACCTGGTGGTCCAATAAAGTGATCACCCCACAAACTGGTCTTTGTCTCCTGTTGCCCATCCATTCGGTAGCTTAAAAATTGGCCATGGTGGGGCTGGAGAGATGGCTCAGTGGTTAAGAACACTGACTGTTCTTCCAGAGGTCCTGAGTTCAATTCCCGGCAACCACATGGTGGCTCACAACCACCTTGAATGAGATCTGGTGCCCTCTGCTGGCATGCAGGCAGAAGGCTGTATACATAATAAATAAAATATTTAAAAAAATCCTCTCCCAAGAGGGTGTCTTAAAAAAAATTGGCCATGGCTATGGATGGTGGGTAGGTAGCCTCCTGAAAACACACTTTTTGGAAAAAAAAAACACTACAAAATGGTGATAGTTAAAAGTAATAACTTTCTTCACCTCTTGTATGTAGATTCAACAGGTAATACATACCCGGTGGCTCTGAGAGCTTGTTTAGGCACATTAAAGTCTTTGGGGGAGTGTTTCTAGAATCATTTATTCATGAGATAATGGGCCTGAATAGAGATGACTTTACCAAAGCCCCCCACCCTCCCTACTCCATCTGCCGTGTACCCTGAGATGCCACACATTCGGAGGGCTGGGTACTAGTGCTGATGACAGCCAGTCCCTCACATAGTGTGGTGCTGAGCCTGGAGTCCTACACAAATGTAGGATGAAGGTAAGAAACAAGATGGTCAGAAGGTGACATGCTCCCAGCAACCCCCAGGGTCAGTGGTCAAGTGGCTTTGAGTGCAGGGCAGTGGCATGCTCGGAGGTCAGGACGGGTACTCCTGGCCCAGAGCCACCTTTTCCAGTTCCCCTCTTCCCTGAGCCCCCATCACTTCACTTGTGGATCTCTCTCTCTCTCTCTCTCTCTCTCTCTCTCTCTCTCTCTCTCTCTCTCTCTCTCTCTCTCTCTCTCTCTCTCTCTCTCTCTTTTTCTCTCTCCTCCCACTTTCTTTCTCTCTCGCTCTCTCCTCTTCATTCCCCTCCCCCTCTCCCCCCCATCTGTTCCCCTCACTCCCTCCAGTGTTTTACTGTGTAGTTTTAGCTAGCCTGGAACCCTTGCTATAGACCTTCCTGCCTCTGCCTCCCAAGCACTGGAATTGGAGGCTTGCACCACCTCACTAGGCTTTTCCTCTTTTCGATCTGAGCTCTTCCTGCACCCTCCCAGCCCAGTTTCTGTGTGTCACACCCCTCCCAGATCTGTGTCTACACTTGGGTGTGTTCTCTGTTCCATGCTAATTACCTCTCTGAACTTCCTGCAGCTCCCAATCTGTTTCTCGGTCCTCAGCTGTCTGTCTTCTGAACCCTCTCTGCATCCTGCATGTCCCTGGACAGTCGCCTCTGTCTTGCCTGTCTCTCTGTCGCCCCTCTCCTGCTGGCCCAGTCATAATCGCCACAGGACGTCAGCGTGTGCAGCAGGTTCACAACCCACTGGCCCCGCAGCCCAGTCCCGCCTGTGGCCCGCAGCTCGAGGGAGCCCGTGGGTTCTCAGCGAGTGTGCTGGGTGTCCCCGTGCACGGTTGGGCGCGTCCCGACGTGAGCGAGCAGTGGCCATGGGCACGCGCGGGCCCTATGCGCTGGTGGACACCACGCCGGCCAAGACCATCTTGGTGTACCGCAACGGGGACCAATTCTACGTGGGCCGCAAGTTCGTGTTCTCGCGGCGCCGCGTGGCCAACTTCGAGTCTCTGCTGGAGCAGCTGACCGAGCAGGTGGACGTGCCCTTCGGTGTGCGGAGGCTCTACACGCCCACGCGCGGTCACCCGGTGCTGGAGCTGGACGCCTTGCAGACTGGTGGCAAGTATGTGGCTGCGGGACGCGAGCGCTTCAAGAAACTGGAGTAAGTGCAGACCTCGGATCTCTTCCCACCCAGGCTTCTACAGCAGCACACCCTACTCAGTCTTCTGCACACATCACATCTCACCCAGAGCCTCATCCAGGGCATGGGGCAGCAGGAACCCACTGTCTTTGGGAGCAACAGCAAACACACAGAACCTGGGCTTCAGAGAATCCGGGGCAGGGTGGGGGCGGAAAGGGGTACAGATTAGTTAGCATTATCCAGGCACTTTTATTGCTATGAAATAGATGCACGGTATTTGTGGGTGAATTCAACACAGAGAAGCATTTAGGCTTCATTTTCTTCATCTTTTAGGTTAATGGCATGTGAAATCGGGCTCCAGTCTGCCGAATAAAACCATGAAACACTTCTGCCCTGACATCAGTAAGGTGCACGGGCCTTACCGTCTGCACCTGCTGAGCCGCTGAGCAGTTAATATTCACCAGATAATAAGATTCTAATTGTGCCACTAGCAAACAGTTGTAAGGGACGCTGGCAGCCCTGGGGTTTCCCCCAATGATGACCAGGGGCCTGTGGCTTGAAAGGTTTTCACAGAGCCGCTTGCCAGAATACAGTGGTGAATGTGCCATTTACGTTCAAGCCTTCCTGGTTCTGCCTCGTCGTACGTATCAGGGCCTGGGAGTCGGGAGAGTGAGTGGCAGGCCATGATGCATGGTGGGGCAGACAGGTAAGGTCCGGCCAGGGAGCAAGGACTCCCTCTGAGTGGGACTGAATAGCAACTTTGGGCAAAAAATCAATTCTCAGAGTTCACGCTCTCATCAGTAATCAGGTGGTGAGTGTCCACCTCACTGCACCAAACGGATTAAATAAATACCCTCCTTCAACATGCCTGCACCCAGAGTCACTTTACATCTTCCTCTCCTTCTGGAAACACCAAGGGGGTTGCTCAGTGACCGCCAGCCCCAGGAGAATTAAGCCTGTTGCAGGTTTCATGTACCCCCTGTAACCACCCTGTTTGCTGGGTCCTACTCTCCTGGCCTGTTTCCATGTTCTTGGGAGTGCAACACTGAACAACACACAGCACCGTGAGACTTTTGTGCCTTAATTTTCTGAATTATTTTTGCAGTTTTGAAAAATGTAATGGTAGACTGTTGTCTCCTCTGGGAGATTACTGTTTGTGAGAGAACATACAAACCAGGATCTTAGAGCTGACTAGCAATACGAGCTTGGAAAAATGGAGAGCATGAAGGGGTTAGCAAGGTTGAAGGACAGGCGGGTGGAAGGGGCCAGTGAGTGGCAGAATCCCAGGCTGAATATCCACAGGCCGAGCTTTGCCTGGTCCACACGAGTTTTAAAGATTGGAGCGTGAACTTGTTTTTATTTTATTTTATTTTTTTGAGAGGGTTGGTTGCTCTGTGTGACCCTGGAACTCACTCTGTAGACCAGACTGGCTTCAGACTCATAGAGATCTACCTCATCACGTCACTGGAGAGAGTTCCACAGGGTAAGGCCAGCTAGTGCAGCTGGAGGTGTCCCATGACACGCTGCTGCCACATTCTGATGTGGGTTCATTTTTGACTTGTGGGGTTGCCTGTTTCATTGCTGACACTGGTTCCTCTTGGCAGAGGCTCCATGGTTCAGTGTGAATATTGCCTTTTTTTTTAAAACTACTCTCCTCTTTTTTTTTTTCAGCTATATTCATATAGTTCCCAGAAAACCTTCAAAGATGAGAAAGTTGAAGGAAGTAAGTATTTGATACTAACTAATAAGATGAATTAGAACACTTTGACTACAGGTTTATCGACTTTATTAAACTTTTCATTAATTGTCATCTGGCTTTACTGGCTTTCCCATTTCCCGATTCCTATTTTGTTATGTCTGTTCTAATTTGTATTCCCTCCTGTTGTGTAAGAAGGGTGTCTCTTTGGGGGAACCTCTTTTTATACCCCTTCTCCATCTCTGCAGGATACACTCTTCCTGCCCCCAGGCATCTCTGTGCTGGATTTCCAGGGCTAATGACTCCTGAGTTTTTGTTAGGGCTGTTTCAGAGACAGTGTCTTGGCTTACAGGGAACAGTGGGGGTTTCCAGGCTTGGTGCCAGGCTGATGCTTTAGATAGGAACGGGCACACTGTCATTCCCTCCAGCGTGCCTGCTTGCTTCCTGCACCCTCCACTTCTGTCTGAAGACCTGGCTCCCCTCCCTCAGGCTGGCACAGAAGCTGCTGGGATCACTAATCAAGCATGTGATTGCATCATGGAGGGAAAGGGCTGGGTAACCGTGGTGAACACGCCTCTGATTAAACCTAGGTTGAATCCCTCTAGTCTTGCTTTTCTCTGGTTCATCATTGTCTTACCACCCACTTTATTCCTTTCACAATGGCCATCATTCCAGCCTGGCAGGAGGTGCTCGTTACCAACCCAGGAGCAACTGGGTCTCATTTGCTAGCCTTTTTTTTTAAAGGGCATAATAGAAGTTCTGGAGGATGAACACCCTCCAAGAACATTGTTGGCAGTGTGTGTGTGTTCATGTGTGTGTGTGCATGTGTCCCTCAGCATGCACGTACCTGCTCTTGGGGAAAGGGAGGCTTCAGCTACTTGGCGGTGATGACAGTGACGGCACAGTTGGACTGAACATCGTACCCATGCTTCTTTCCTAGCCTCCCTGAGGGCATGTTACAAAGCACATTAAATTGACTCAGTCGTACAACCCATCGTTAAAAAATGGTCTCTGTGTGTGCATATTTGTATGCATCAGCGTGGACACGCGCATGCCACGGCACGTATGATGGTATATGTGCAGAGGTTAGGTGACAGCCTTCAGTGTTCTCACCTTCCACCTTGTTTGAGGGCAGGTTTCTGAGGCTCTGTGTAAACCAGGTTGGCTTTAGGGCTTCTGGGGGATTTTCTCATCTCTGCCTCCCATATCCCTGCAGGAGTGCTCAGATTACAGAGGTGGGTGCTGCTTGCACCCAGTTTTTTTGTGGGTTCTGGGGGTTCAAGCTCATAGCCTCACAATTGCACAGTAAGTGCTTCACCTACCAAGCCATCTCCCCAGTCTCATGACTTGTCATTTTTAATGTAAAAGAATTGAAACACTTCCCAAAAGATGAACTGTTGTAGAATATTATTTTAACTAGGCAAAGATGTGTTACATTTGTTTATGCCGCAGAATATTACTTTAACTGTGAAAAATGTGTGTTCCTTTTGTTTACGTTGCATTTGTTTAATGATGTAAGGATATGTGTGTTTAATTATGTACGGATGTGTTGCTTTGTTTCACCTTTCCTGCCTAAGGCACGCCTGATTGGTCTAATAAAGAGCTGAATGGTCAATAGCTAGGCAAGGAAAAGGATAGGTAGGGCTGGCAGGCAGAGAGAATAAGAAAAGAAATCTAGGCTCCAAAAGAAAGGAAAAATAAGAGAGAGAGAGGGGAATTTCAGGGCAAGCCACCCAGCCAGCACTGAGTAAGAAGGAGAGAAAAACATAAAATAAAGGAAGGTAAAAAGCCCAGAGGCAAAACATGAAGTGAAACAGGATAATTTAAGTTAGAAAAGCTGGCTAGAAACAGGCCGAGGCTGGGTGTTTTAAACAAAGAAGAAGTCTCCTGTGTCTTTATTTGGGAGCTGGGTGATGGCCCCCAAAAGGAAAAAGCCTGGTACAATGAATACTAAAGCCTATGAAGCCTGACCCTGCCTAAGCCTCAGCCACACTTGCCTGTGTGTTCTCTGGGGGCCCAGAGTGTCATGTAAAGTCAGACTCAGGGGTGCGAAAACCCATGTCTCCTATGCATTTGTCTTTCACCCAGGAGATGGCATGTTGACAGGCGAGTTTTGATCTGTTTCCTGACCTCACTGCTTCAGGGTGGCTGGTCTTGTGAGGCTTCTCTATGTTTTTTGGGGGAAGGAAGGAGGCAGGTTGAAGGCACAAAATTGCAGATTTAGTATACAAAGTGATCTTGGAGTGTTTATGTAGTGTAGGAGTGCTTGGCTTGCATGCATGTCTGTGTACCATGTGTACCTGGTGCCTACGAGGTCAGAAAAGGGTATCTGATCCCTCGAAACTAGAGACACGGATGGTCACAAACCGCCATGTGGGTCCTGAGACCCCAGCTGAGCCATTTTTCCAGTCCCATGACCTTTCTGTTTTACAAATGAAATAAAAGGGCCAGAGATTGTAGCTCAGCCAGTAGAAAACTCGCTTAGAATGAAGGAAGCCTGGAGTTTGAGCCTCCAGGAGTGGTTTGGCGCTGTAACCCTAGCAGTCTGAAGGTGGAGGCAGGAGGATCCCGAGCCAAAGTCATCCTCAGCTACAAAGTGTATTTCAGGCCAGCCTGGGCGACATGAGACCCTGTCCCCAAAACAAACAACCCACAACATTTTTACAAATAAATCAAGAACTGTGCAGACATGACACGCCCCTTGAGGTACTCATGGTCTCTGACACCCATGTGTCTCCATATCAATGGGCTCAGACAGTAGCTTAGACCCCCGATGTTTAGCGGCAGAGTTTTCTTCACGGGTACCGCCAGTCTCTTTCCACACATACAGTGGAGCATAGAAGAGTTTGTTGCTCCTTAGCAGGTTTCTTTCTGGGTGTGTTTATGTGAGGACGTCTCTCCTTGGTGCCAGAGTCTTTTCAGTTCAGGCAAGAGATGTTTGAACGTTTCCTGAGGGCGGACAGACAGGTGACAAGAGCAGAGCATTTGCAGCACAATGACAGCAACAAGCACCTGCCAGGTGAGCGTTTGCCAAGGTGCGCTTTCCGTCTGTACCTTCCGCTCTCGTGAGAGGCTTGGTGCTGGGATTGCATCGCCCGAAGAGCAGGCTGAGGAACGCCAAGCAGCTGAGCTCCTCATTACGCTGGCAACAGCCAGAGCCATTCCAGGTGTCCCTGAGCACCCTGCCAGCAAGGTACCACGTGGCTCTGCACTGTGAGGGCATGCCTTTGGATGGCTTTTCATGGACGGGAGCCCTTGATGCCGCGTGCTCCAGGGAACGTTGTACAATCTGGTTCTTTGTCACCTGGCTGCTTTGTGAGGTTATTTTGGAAATCAGTTATGCTGCCTTATAAAACCTACCCACAGGGCTTAGAGCCTGCTGGTAACTTCACTGCAGCTGTAGTGAGAACTATTCCCTCAGGTCTCCATTCTAGGCTTAGTTTTACTTCCTTGGGCAGTAGGTTTATAGCCTGTTGGGTACTTCGACCTCAGGCCGATGAGTGATGCGTGTGACTCATCAGAACTGATGAGTGAGACTGTCTTTCCCACTAGAGAGTAATGGCCACATTGGTTAGACTCCTCTCAGGGACACGATTACACGGAGTACAGGGAGCAAGAATCCAGAGTGTGTGCTTAATAGCTGCAGTTATTTAATTAGGCGGGTGCTATCAGGGTTAATGAGCCATTAACACATCAGAAGCCCAATTAGCCCATTGTTTCCATAGCTGTATGCAATCAAGCAGAAAGCCCTTCCTAGGGTGTCTGTACCCAAGAGAATCTCTCAGAGCGCAGTTTCTGTTATTTTGTTTTCAGATCAGGTCTGTAAATGCATGCCCATTGCTGATATTCATGGAACTCAGTTTTCCCACTGTACCGTGCGGGCGTGCATCATTTTATATGCAACACACAACAGAGCAATAGCGGATGCATGCATGCACTTCTGCAGCCTTCACTGGTCTCCATTACTCTGGATCCTTTCCCTCATCCACTGTCCATTCAGCTTCCTGGGTGGTTACCTCAGTCTCCTGGGGGCTGCTCACTGGTCGGCACTAGTGTCTGAAGGACTTCCTACGCCGAGAAGGCTCAGACTCGAAAGGATAGTGTGAGTCACAAAACAAGAACACCATAAGCAGCATGAAGGCTGAGTTGCTGCAAGGTGCCTTCTAAATACTTAGTGTTATACACACAGGCCAGTCCAACTGTCACCCCTCATGCCCCCAAACTTCTTTATACAGTCAACAGCTGTCAATACAGAGACTTACAACTGGTCCAAGTGCAGAGAATCAGTGATTGTGAAGTGCTCAGAGCCCTAAACAGGAATCGCTACCACACCCCCAACTCCCCAGAGGGCATGGAAAAACTGTAAGAGCCAGAGATCAGAGAGTAGTGCTGCAAAATGATGTCTTCTGGACCTAATGAGGACACTGTACTCACACACTCTCAACTGCTGTGGTTGCTAGTGTAAGGCTTTCATAGGATCAAGCTAGCCAGCGCTTCAGCATACAGAAGGAAGGGATGTAAGAGGCCCCACTTCTAAGCTAAGGGGATATTGGCAGTTGCTAGGCGGTACTAATTAGGCTCAGTGGATTATCAAAAATAAGACGTGAAGTCAGGAGAGGTGTGTTGGGCGTGGCTGGGAGGAATTGGGAGGACTGAATGGGAGGTAGCTATGATTTAAATACATTATGTAAAAAATTCAAAAAACAAAATCCCCAAACAAACAAGGGTGGAGAGAGACAGGGCAGTCTCCCTGAAGACAAGATGGAGTGCAGAGGGTGATAACAGGGTGAATGCCCTGTCTCTGCTTGCTGGGAAGAAGGGGTGGGTCTGGGGAGTTAGGTCTGTCTGTTGTGATTTTAAAAAAGCAGTTCAAGAGAGAAAGATGCCATTAAACAGTTCAAGAGGAGGAGGTTTTTTTTTTATTAAGGGAAAGGAGGGGTGAAGACCAGCCTCCAGGGAGGAGAGGGGAAGAGGGGGAGAGGGAGAAAGAAAGGAAGAGAAAGAAAGAGGGAGAGAGGGATGGAGGTGGGCAGGGCCTCTTAAAAGGGAACACACTGAATATGCACAGGTGCTGCTCTTAGTGGCAGCAGCTGAGGGCGTATCTTGTGAGAACTCCAAAGGCAGGCCAGTAAAACACTAAATCCTGACACTGTCAGTAAAAATCTTGACCCTCGACTGGGGCTGTCTAGGTGTGGTGGCACAAACCTAATCCCAGCCCTCTGGAGGCAGAGACGGGTGGGTATCAGTGAGTTCCAAGTCAGCTAGGACTACAGAGTGTGATCCCATCTCAAACAACAAAAAACTGGGTCTGGTGGTGCACACCTGTAAACTAATTAGTGCTGCCTATGCGGGCATGGGCACAGAGTGCCATCCACTAGACCATGGACAATATACCATTGGCCACACTGCTAAAGAAAACCGACTCCCTCCCTGAGCAGCCAGAAACTGCTACTATGTCCTCAGCTAGAGGTGGGGCTCTTAAGTCTCCTCTTCTCTGTGCTGGAGCGCTGGATGACATGATCTTGTGCAGGCCATGGGTCAGCTACCACAGCTGAGTTCACCAGCGGGGATGTTCTTGTCAGGAAGACATTATTCCTGTTGTTCTCCTATGCCAGGACCCCCAAAATCTCTTCCTATTTGAATATCCCTGAGGTGAAGTCCTGAGAAGGCCTTGCATTTGCCTCTGCATATTCCTTCTTAGGAAAGGGCCTAGAAGGCCTGGGGAATGTAAGGAAGGTGTGACACCTGGCTACTGTACTCCACTCTGTGGTCTGAAATCAGAAGCCCCCTTGTCCAGTCCTCATCCCCTGCAATTTGTCCAGCAGAGCACGGGACCACCTTGGCTGCCAGTGTGCATTTACTGGGTGCATCGCTGTGTACCCCCATTATGAGCCGTGTACCATCCTCAGCGTTGTCATTCTCCCCCTGACAATCTGTGCATCCCCCTCCAGCCTCCCACCCCTTGGCCTTCAGCCTCCATCACCCCTACATGTTACCTACTGGAGAGAGGCTGGACTCCTGGTGCACACCGCCTCTCTGAGTCCCTGGGAGACCTGTCCTTGGTGGCCCATGACCTTGGTAGTTTTGGGGTAATGCTGTCCTTGCTGTTGGTACTGACCAGCGTCTGCTCATCTGAAGCGAACTCTGGGGCCTGTGGTTTGTTTTGCAGATCAAGCCGGTGGTACATTGCGATATCAACGTGCCTTCCAGGTGGCAAACACAGAACAGGCCATCCCGACATATAAAGTGAGTTCCGTGTCATGAGCGTCAAACCCCGAGCATGTCCTGGCTGCTCTCAGGCAATGCTCTCCTGCTGGGCCACCTCCTGGGCCTGCTGCTCACATTGTCCTCTCCCGCTTCCTCTCCCCTTCCTTCTTCCTCCGTCTCTCTGATCACACCTCTCTGTGGTCAGCCTTCAAGTATCCTTCTCTGAGGACAGTCCTCAGTTGGGTGCCATGATCTGCAGCAGCTTTCCTGAGGTGAAAAAGCAGTGAGGGAGGGAAGTCAATGGCCACATTAGGCAAACTTTGCATCTCTCACCTATCTTCAAAGTCTCAAGGACTGTGTCTCAGATGTCCCTTGCTTTCCATTTCCAGAAGGGAGCCAACTAGAAACACAAGTCAGGGTTTCCCATACTGCTTCTTGAAAATACCAGGCCTCCAAAGAGCCAGGCTCTCAGTAGTGGGCACCTTTCTGGGACCTGTAATATGCAGAGAAAGGATAAATAAGTGCACAGTTAGCTAAAAAGGAAAACCCAAGGAACCTGACAAGATAGTTCAGTGGGTAGAGACACCTGCCCACAGACCTGACAACTTGAGTTCAGTCCCTGGATATTATAAGGTGCCAGAAAAGAATTGACTTCTGGGAAGTTGTCCCTTGATCTCCACCTTGGTTCTGTACTCGCAATACATTCATACATACATGTACATATTCAAAAATAGGAAAGTTTTTAGGCCATTGGTTCAGTGAATGAAGGTGCTTGTTACTGAATTTGATGACCACAATTCAATCCTCTATACTCACATAGTGGAAAGAGGGAATTCACTCTTGCAAGTAGCTCTCTGACCTTTAAACAAGTTCTGTGACTTGTACAAGTGCAAGCACACAAGCAAGAATGCATGCACACGCGCTCACACGTGCACACATACATGAGCACACATACACATACACTGAATGCTGTTTTAAAATGTTTGAAGAGTACCAGGGCTTCTCTGAAATAATAGAAGCTCCAGTGTTTCTAAGTTTTGCAGAGACCATCTTTTGTGTAGAGCATGCCACACTCTTAGGGGACATAACTGGTTTGTGAGTCCTGGTTAATGAAGACACACAGCCACAGCCACAGCCATCGCCCAGTGTATCAGTGACTCTCGCAGAAGATGTGTTTCACATCCTGATAGGAATGCTGGGAAGGTCCACTAGATGGACCCAAATATCCATCTAAATGCAGCAACCTTCCACCACGGAGAAAGCAGACCACTTGCGACTGTGAAAGTAAGCAGAGGTTAAGGAGGGGTTCTGCGTCAGGTGCTCTGTGTGAGGCATTCAGGGTAGGAAGGACTCTGACCTTCTCCTGCGGTGGAATGGCAAGGCTGGCACGACCTGTGGAGCATGGCTTTTATTCTGTGGAGGGAAAGCCTGGAGCTCCTTGGTGGGACTCAGGGGACACTATGCTGATGGTTGTGACCTTAGAAGTGTGAAGTCACCCCAGTTGGAGGCTGAGGCTCAAAGGTGGGACCTGGTTCTGGTCTTAATTGTGGAACCCAAAAGCCCCACTGTGCAGGGACATCCTTCACCTATGCTGCTCTGTAGTGGGGTCTCTGTTCTCAGTTTGGTTTTATGCAGTAGAGAATATAGTGTGTGTGTGTGTGTGTGTGTGTGTGTGTGTGTGTGTGTGTGTGTGTGTGTGTGTGGTGGGGTTCAGAGGTTTTTACTTCCATAGTTTCTTATAAGTGAACTGGCAAGAAGTTTGCAAATCCTGGGAATGTTTTCCCAGAGACTCCCTACTCCCCATAGGAGAGTGTTTTAGGGCAAAGAGGTAAAGTCATTGGAACTTGACCAGCAAGCCCCAGGGATATACCTCTCCTGTTCCTCAGTGCTGGGGTCACACTTGTACAACATTACACCTGACTCTTTTCTTTTTTAAAAATATGTGGATTCTGGGGATTAAACTGAGGTTCTCATGCTTGCAAGACAAGTCCTTGCTGACTGAACCATATAGCCCATCCCACTTTTTTGGTATGTTTGGTATTTGTGCATGTATGCATGTTCAATATGTGTGGGTGTGCATGTGTACATGTGTATGTTGAGGTCAGAGATTTGCATTGAGTGTCTTCTTCAGTCACAAACCATTTTATCCACGGAGGCAGGGTCATTCTCTCAAAGTCAAGCATGCTGATTTTTTTTATCCCTGTGTCTACTTTCCAAGGGTTGGGGGTACAGGGTCCTCGCACTTCCCCAGCCAGTGTTTTATTCACTGAGATACTTTCTTAGACCCTCCCCCTTTAATTACACCAGTTTGCTGAGATCACAGCAGAGCTCCTAGAAGGTGTGCCACTGGAGTCTGTCTGTGGTTGGTGTATCAGCTATTGCGAATTCTTCAAAGTACAGTAGGTTTCCCGCTTCGGAAGTGGGGAAGCTGAGACGCACAGAGAACGGGAAAGTCCGGCTGTCCGCTGGTGTATCTGATGCCTGCACTTTGCTACCCCATACATTTGCTAAGTGTGCCAGGTCAGGGAGACCAAGAGATGAATAGAAATGTATATTTGTGAGCTCACTGACCAGCAGGGGATGAGTGATGAGAGAGAGATTCGTGAAGTTCTAGAATCAACTCTAGAGACCACGGCTTTGATTTTGGTATTGAAGGACTGTAGCATGAGTTCTAATTGGTCTTAATAATAAGAATCAGGAGTCTGATATTAGGGGGGGTGAAAGATGAAAGATTAGAGAAGCAGAGCAACCAGCCCCTAGAGTTCTTACCTCTATGAGATCTTTCAGACTGAAAATTGACTGAGCTCCTGTCTCCTCCCACTTTATGTTCTCTCTCCTCCCAGCTGTATCACTTCCTGTCTGTTTGTTCAGACCTCCAGGCCTCTGTGGTTAACTAGTGGCTAGCTCCACCCTCTGATCTTCAGGCGAGCTTTATTTGTGAGAGTACAAACAAGATATCACCACAAAGGTATCACTCAGCTTGAATTGGAATTGGTTCCTGTGTAGAAGTGTTTGCTTTATCAGTGGACGAGGGAGGAAGAGGCAGCCAGCACAAAGTATAAGGTTATACTCATGGCTCTCTCCAACACATCAAATTGGGCTACCTTATCATAGTGGTGACAACAGGAATAAACATGGCCCTAGCTTTCTTGCAGTTGCAGCCATCAACCTATTTCTGAGAAAGGTGATTCATCGGAGGAAGGTTGCTTAGTTGGAAGAACTCACCTGTGTTTTGGAGTCAGAAGGACTTCACTTTTCACTGAGCCTATGTGACCAGGGAAGCCACTGGCTTCCTGTGTCTCTTTAGCTGGGTCCCAGAGTTGTGGTATTTGCTTTACTGAGTTACTGGAAAGTTTGAGACAATCTTTATAACATACACAGGAAGTATGCAGTAAACCATCATCTTTTGCTGGATAAAAATCCATGTACCTTCTAGATCCATATGCTATTTTCCACTTTCCAAAATTTAAAATATTTCCCTTCCCTCTATTTCTGGAAAGTCTAAATGTAGCATAGTAGGTAGTGTGTTGACTAAGCAACGTGAACCTCTCCTCACCTAATTCAGAATGATTTTTTAAAAAAATAAATGGACTATATTTTACACACAGAATGAAGAGTTGTAAAAGTTACCAACAAAGCAAATCTCCCTCCCACCTTTCAGCTAAAGTTCTCTAGTGACTTCCCTAGCAGTGACAGACAGCTTGCTCTGTGTCCTGCACCATGGATGCCTTCCCTGCTTTTCATATGTAGTTTACCCAGGAGATAGTTTCTCATCAGCATTTATCAGTGTGTCATGCCTGACGAAACTGCTGCAATGTCTTGAAGTCCACGACCTCTGTTCGCATGCATTTCACCATGGTAGGATTTAATATGTGGCTGTCTGTCACCCATCCATGGAGGACTTCTGGTAACTGTGGGTATTTAGATAAGGCTGGGTCCCTAGAGCACTGGGTGGAAACTGACAGTTGGGGCCTTGGACAACCTTAGCTCTACAAGGCATTTGGATTCCCTGAAGGTCCCTGCTCAACTACAGAGTCTCCCCTTCAAACTTGGAGTTCCCTAACTTAAGATCTGGAGAATTTTTTATTTATTTCCTTTACCTTAAACATTTCTAAACATCTTGCTTACTTATGAAAAATGTGGAATCTAAAATTGAAGTCTCAACCTCCCCAGGTAGCCACTCCCTAAGAACAACCACCGGTAGCCTAGAGGAACATAGCTGCTCGTGCTTTCCTTGTGAAGCTTAAGCTGCTTTTAATTTAATTTATTTTAATTATTTTTTAAAAGCATTCACTATACTTGGTTACAGACTCCTGGTAAATGCAAATGAAAAGTTTTGGGTAGCTGTGTAACCTAGTGTATTGAAGCATCATGATTTATTTAACTGTAGCTCTCTGACCAGACATTTGGGCCTTTGAATCTTTGCTTTATTAAATAACTGTAGTGTGTGAGAGATATCTTCATACATAAGTCCGTGTCTGGGTTTCTGTGAAGTGGGCTTCATGGAGGGAAGGATGAAATCTGTGAGTAGTACATTGGTGTTTCTTGCTATGCTATCCACATTGTTCATGTTCAACTACATGGGTGGTATGTGCACATGCCTATCCCCAACACTCAGGTGATGGCTGCCTGTTACAATCTCAAAGGTTAAAGGGCTGGAGAGATGGCTCAGCTGGTACAGTACTTGCCTTGCAAGCATGAGTTTGGTCCCCAGAACCCATCTAGAAGATGGTGGGCATGATGGCCGCCACTTGTTCTTCAGGCATTAGAGATGAGGAGACAAGTGGAGTGCCGAGGCTCCCTGGCCACCCAGCCTAACCTCCTTGGAGAATTCCAGGCCCTGTCTCAAAACACAAGCTGGGCAGTGTTAAGCTGATGTTGTCCTCTGGTCTCCACAGGCACATACACTTGTGCACACACACACACACACACACACACACACTTGTACACACATATATGCAACCTTAAAAATGCAGGCAAATGTAACATGCTTGTGTTAAAGTACTTTATTTTTGTCAATCTGGGTTTTAAAAAGATTTTTAAAATTAAATTTTTTCGTTTATTTTACATCCCTACTGGAGTTTCTCCTCTCTTCTCCTATTCCCTCCACCTACCTCGCTTCTGCCCCTCTCCAATCCATTCCTCCTCTGTTTCTGTTCAGAAAGGGCTGGGCCTCCCATGGGTGTCAGCAAAGCATGGCATTTCAAGTTGAGGGAGGACTAAGTTCCTCCCCTCATATTAAGGCTTGATAATGCAACACAGCATGAGGAATAGGTTCCCCAAAGCCTGTCAAAGTGTCAGGGATAGGTCCTTCTCCCACTGCCAGGAGTCCCACAAGTAGATCAAGCTACACAGCTGTCACACACATATAGAGGGCTTAGGTCAGTGTCATGAAGGCTCCTTAGCTGTTGGTTCAGACTCTGTGAGCTCTTAAGAGCCCAGGTCAGTTGTCTCTGTGGATTCCCTTGTGTAGAAAATTTTTGACATAAACCATTTGTAGTCATTAGAAACACTGTGCTGATTCTTCATGGTCTCCTCCATGGCTTTTTTTCTTCTTCTTCACGAAAGCGCTTTAAATACTGAAGAAGCTGAAGGCTGGTGCTGGCTGGCTACAAGTCTGTCTTGCCGCAGAGATTTAGTGGAGGAAGCAGATTATGTTCATTGTGACAACACATTCAACCTGTGTTTATAGTATGAGAAGATGATACATTGTTTACAGTCTTGGAGAAGAAGATACATTGTGTATAGTCTTTGAGAAGAAGATACATGTGTATAAGCCCTCTGAGAAGACAGATTGCTTATAGCCCCTCTGAGAAGAAGATACATTTGCATTGTCTCTAAGTTATTCACATTTAAGGAAAAAAATTCAAGTAAACAACAGCAAATAGCACAAAGAAACTTGCAAGTCAGAGTTCTACAGCTGAGCTTGCACACTATTTTTTTTTTTTTTCGAGACAGGGTTTCTCTGTGGCTTTGGAGGCTGTCCTGGAACTCGCTCTGTAGACCAGCCCAGCCTCGAACTCACAGAGATCCGCCTGCCTCTGCCTCCCGAGTGCTGGGATTAAAGGCGTGCGCCACCAACGCCCGGCTTGAGCTTGCACACTATTAAAGAAAGCATAGGCTAAAAGAAATAAGTCTTGCACATGGCACTTTTTTTATTGAGACAGGTTCTTTCTATGTGATCAAGGTTGGCCTAGAATATAGAATATCCTTGCTCCAGCTTCACGTGTGCTAGGATTACAAGTGTGTACCACCACACATGGTCTATTGTACCTTATTTTAATGAAAATTATGAGACTTTGAAACTACCTCCAAGGGGTGGTGATTCCTGAGGCACAGCAAATGAAATAGGCACTTTGGTTGAGTTTTGAAGAACTCAGTACACCTTTCCCCAAACAGCAATAATGAATAAACCTATTGGGGTCACATTGCTCCCTGAAGACAAGAGTGAGGCTGGGTGTTTTGTCACTTGTCCAGAGGATCATGTAGCATTTCTACTGGGTGTCTCTCTAGGCTCTGTGACAAGGGATATGACTGCCTTTTTCAAATATAATTCCCTCCTTTCATTTTCCAACTGTACACTATTTTCTTCTAATTTAACCCCCATAGAGAACATACCATTTTTATATAAAATTTTACTTAAATTAGAAACAATTTTATTTTATGTATCAATCCCAGTTCCCTCTCTCTCCCATCCTCCCATCCACTCTCCAGGGAGGGTGAGGCCTTCCATGGGGCATCATCAAAGTCAAAGTCTGTCATATCATTTGGGGCAGGGCCTAGGCCCTCCCTCATGTATCTAGGGAAACATACCATTTTTTTCTTTTAATTTTAAATAGCTTGTTTTACATGTCAATCCCAGTTCCCTCTCCCTCCCCTCCTCCCGCATTCCCCCACCATCCCCCCATCCTCCCACCCTATTGCCAATTCCTTCCACATAGGTGATATCTAGAGTCTATCATTTCACTCAGGGTAGGGTCCAGGCACTTCCCTAAGAGTCCAGGCAGAGAGAGCAACCCTCTTTGTGTTATGATCACACGATGTCTGTTAGTATTCGAGGGATAAACACTGATCCACTGCTCAGGACCCCATAGGTAGCCCAGGCCTCCTCACTGGCTCTCACATTCAGGGGGTCTGGATGGGTCCCATGCTGGTCTCCCAGCTGTCGGTCTGGGGTCCAAGAGCTCTCCCCTGTTCAGATCAGCTGTCTCTAATGGTTTTGCCAGCCCATTCTTTGCCAATTTGCTCATCGCTCCTCTCTCTCTGTCTCTGGGTTCCTTGGGTTCTGTTCAGTATTTAACTGTGGGTGTTTGCCTCTGCTTCCATTAGTCACTGGATGAAGGCTCCAGGATAGTTATAGACATCCAGTTCACTATCAGGAATGGTCATTCGAGGTGGTCTCTACACTATTGCTTAGCTTGCCAATTGGAGTCATTCCTTTAGATCACTAGAGGTCACAATGGTGCCTGATCTGTCTTAGAAGTAGAATTTTGTTCCATTCATTTGGGTGCCTTCAGCTATATGGAAAGGTACATTCTGAGATGTGGACAGATCTCAGTTGTTACAGTGTGGTCTCACAAGCATGAAGCTCTTGGCTCCATCCCTAGCAGTATATAAACCAGAAATGTATGTCTGTAATCTCAGCATCTGGGAGGTGGAGGCAGGAGCACCAGAGGTGCAGAGTCATCCTCAGCTTGAGACCAGCCTGGGCTGTATGAGACCCTGTCACAATACAGTACACTAAAATACAAACATAAAAAATACAGTATAATACAATATAAAAACTACTTTCCTAATACCACAGCAGACTTGAAGACTGTACTGCAGGACTTGTACTGTAGGACTGTACTGTAGGTATTGCTAAGTATTGTTAAGTATTGATCAGAATATTTTTGCATTTCTGCAAATACACCTATGCTTTTTTTCTTTGAGTTTCCACCTCAATTTTAAGGTAGTAATGATGGTTTTTCTTCTTATCCCTACAGTGTTTTCACAAATGGAAGATTGTTTATCCCACCTATAAAAATTATTATACCCAAATTCAGCCTGTCAGATTGGAATAGTGTGCTGGCCATTATTGGAGAAAAAGTCTTCCCTCCAGGAGGCGTACGGAAGTAAGGCACTCTTACGTGAGGAATTGGGTTGCAGGGAAGAACTGGGTTCCCCATCTTTATTTTAAGCTGGCTCCATTAACCTGTTCACCAAACACTCAGCACTGGCCACGAGTTTCTGTGCAAGGGGCACAGCATCATAAAGAGGAGGCCTTAGGTGAGAAGGCTCAGTGGGTAAAATGTTTGCCATGCATGCTTAGTGGTCTGAGCTTGATCCCTGGAACCCCTGTGAGGGTAAAAGGAGAGAACTGTCCTCTGACTACACATGTGCACATGGCACACATGCACCCCTCACTGTGCACACGACAGTGACAACACCAACAGCAAAGAACCTTGCTTCCCAGAACCTCTACTTTGGCAGCAGCTGGAGGAGGTACTGCAGTAGTTGGTGGCCTGTAGAAGTTGGGGGGGGGGACACATGGGGAATCAGTCTTTCAGGTGTGAAACTCAGCCAATGAGTGAGGGAGTTTTGCTTCTACAGGGCAGAATGGTTCAAAGAGGTCAGCCCAGAATCACAACCTGTAACCAGGGCTTTAGGGCCAAGTCAGTCTTCTGTCACCTGTACCTTTGTGACCATAACAACAAAAGATACCTTTTTCTTCATCTGGGAAGTGATATTAGCAATTTCTAAAAGTTGTCATACGTGCTCAGCACTTCACCCAGGACGTGGCATGCTGTATGTGATACCAGAGGAACAGTTGTGATGGGAAGGGAAAGCCTGGATAGGTACGGTGCATGGGGGAAGGACCTCACCTGTCACTGCTGGAGGCATATTGTCTTGGTTGTTTATATTTTTGTTTTTGGGCGGGGATCTAGGCAACTGGAGTTATGATGTTGAGGGATTTATTGGTGTAGATATCTGGTCTCATCTTTGTTGGATGGGTGTTGCTGTGTGGGGTCCCTGGGACCTGGCCAAGTGGGTTGGGTATGGGGTTCTGGAAGAGAGCTGTTCTGTGGGTTGGGGTGGGTGAGTCGTGTAGAAATGGAGGGGCAAGAACTAGGGGGGGCTCTGGGTCAAGACCGAGAGGCCAAGTCCCAAGGGAATGGAGGGGGACTGCGAGAAGGGCTCCCGTGGGCAAGGCTGCAGCAGGACTAAGAGGAAGTCTCAATGGAGGACAGGAAGAAGGATGAAGGTCTCCTACCAGAGTCCTGGCCTACTATGGCAGCTGTGTATCTCTGGTAGAGACAAGTTCTGCAGGCTGGTGGGTCACAGAGAACTGGAGATGGGCTAGTGGGGGGGGGGGCTGCAGGAAAGAACTAGGGGAACTCTGGGTCCCCACCAGGAATCTGAATCCCTAGCAGGTTGAACTACACCTTTATTTCGGGAAAGTGGTTGAATTGGCTATTTATTGGTAAAACAAAGGTTGGAGACATTTATAGAGATATTCATCATTCTCTTTTTCTCTCTCCTCTCCACATGTGTGTATGTATACACACAAGCCAGAGATCAGCCTCAGGGTTCAATCTTGGGAGCCATCGCCTTGTTTCCTGAGACAGGCTCTTTCTAGGGGAACCATTAAGTGAGCAAGGCTGGTTGACTGTTTGTGGATCCCAAGGTCTTTACTTCCACACTGTGGGAGTTACAACTATTCATCATCATACTTGGCTTTCTCATCTGGCTTTGAGGATGGATGTCATGTTGGCAAGGAGAGCACTTTAATGGTGGAACCTCTCCCAGCCCCTATAGCGCCCAATTAGTAAACTTCCTTAGAAATCACATACAGAGAATGCTTTCTGCTTCTGTGTCTAGATTTGAGCTGGTATTTTTGTGATGTAAGGCAAGCTATTTAGTTACATGCTCCCACTTGTTCACATCTTTTTCCTTAGCAAAGTTCTTACTACAGTACCACCAGCTGAGATGCTCTACAAACTGTCTCTGGATTTTTTTCCAATCTCAGGCTTCCCTCTTTAATTCTGAAACTAGTCTTTATTATCTTCTTACATTTCCCCCCCTATTTGTAGCTGAATATGTAACTTTTTATGTTAGCACATCTCACCCCATGTCTTAACTTTTCTTTTTTCTTTTTGTTTTTGTTCTTTTTTGATTTTCGAGACAGGGTTTTGTAGGTATCTTGCCTGTGAACCTGTAATAGTAGGGTGCCTTTGTGTTGCTTTGAAGCCTGTCCTGTAGACCAAGCGGGCCTTGAACTCACAGAGATCCATCTGCCTCTGCCTCCTGAGTGCTGGGATTAAAGGCGAGTGTCACCAAAGCCAGGCTGTCTTAGCTTTTGTTGAACATCATATTTATTTCTCCACTTTACCTGAAGAGAGTCCCTGAATCTTCCACACAGAGGTTTGTTCCACTATCCATCTCATCACCCACCTCACGATTTCATTTCACTACTACTCCAGTTTCAAATCTGCATTCCTCTTGTCCCCCCCCACCCCATTTATTTTCTGTTGGCAATCTCTCCCAATCACGTTGGTGAGAATTTTGTCTGGCCACTCCAACACTTCTGGTCCTGGCGGCACACCCCCTTGGCACCCTGCCATCTGCTCCATAAGACTGATGATGGCTTTGGGTAGGTCCTCTTCTTAGGTCTCAACTGTGTTTCTCTGGCTGTAGCCTTTATAATACTCTTGTACCAGTGTCTCATAGTCTCCCCCTGGACTTGTTCTGAGTTTCTTGGGCTTGCCAGTACTTAATCGAACCTCTTCCTTGCTGTGGCTATCAGGCTGTGATACCTCTTCTGGGGCCTTGTTAGGTCCAGGACTTTTCTTTCTTTCTTTCTTTCTTTCTTTCTTTCTTTCTTTCTTTCTTTCTTTCTTTCTTTCTTTCTTTCCTTCTTTCCTTCCTTCCTTCCTTCTTCCTTCCTTCCTTCCTCCTTCCCTCCCTCCCTCTTCCCCCCCTCTTTATCTAAGTTAGAAACAAGCTTGTTTCACATGTCAATCCCAGGTCCCTCTCCCTCCCCCAGACCCCACCCAATCTCCACTCTGATCCCCAGGGAGGGTGAGGCCTTCCATGGTGGATCTCCAGTGACTGTCATTTCATCCAGGGAAGGGTCTAGGCCCTCCCCTAAGAGTCCCGGCTGAGAGAGCATCCCTCATTGTGGGATGGGCACTCAAAGTCTATTTGTACTCCAGGGATAAATACCACCCAAGGGCCCGTAGATTACCTAGGCCTCCTCACTGACACCTACCTTTAGGGGGTCTGGGTCAGTCCTATGCTTTCCACACATCCATCAATCTGGGGTCCAAGAGCTCTTCCTTATTCAGGTCAACTGTCTCTGTGGGTTAAGCCAGCCCAGTCTTAACTCCTTTGCCCATCAGTTCTCTCTTTCTGACACTGGATTCCAGGAATTCAGTTCAGTGTTTATCTGTGGGTATCTGCCTCTGCTTCCATCAATCACTGGATGAAGGTTCTGTTTCCGAGACTCTCTGGCAGTGGGATTGTATGCTGGCACTCCCTTGATTCATGTCTAAAATCCATAAATGAGTATTTATCATGTTTCTCTTTTTGTGATTGGGTTACCTCACTCAGGATGGTTTTTTCTAGTGCCATCCATTTGCCTGCAAATTTCAAGATTCCATTGTTTTTTTCTACTGAATAGTACTTCATTGTGCAATTGTACCACATTTTCTCTATCCATTCTTCAGTTGAAGGGTATCTAGGTTGCTTCCAGGTTCTGGCTATTACAAATAATGCTGCTATGAACACAGTGGAACAGATGTCCTTGTTGTATAAATGTGCATCTTTTGGGTATATGCCTAAAAGTGGAATTGCTGGGTCTTGTGGTAGACTGATTCCCATTTTCCTGAGGAATCTCCATACTGATTTCCAAAGTGGCTGTACAAGTCAGCACTCCCACCAGCAGTGAAGGAGTGTTCCCCTTTCTCCACATCCTCTCCAGCATAAACTGTTGTTGGAGTTTTTGATTTTAGCCATTCTGACAGGAGTGAGATGGTATCTCAGAGTTGTTTTGATTTGCATTTCCCAGATGGGTAGGGATGTTGAGCACTTTCTTAAGTGCCTCTCAGCCATTTTAGACTCCTCTACTGAGAAGTCTCTATTTAGCTCTGTAACCAAATTTTTGATTGGATCCTTTGGCGTTTTGGAGACTTGCTTCTTGAGTTCTTTGTAAATTTTGGAGATCAGCCCTCTGTCAGATGCGGGGTTAGTGAATATCTTTTCCCAATCTGTGGGTTGCCTTTTTGTCTTGCTGATTGTGTCCTTTGCCTTACAGAAGCTTCTCAGTTTCAGGAGGTCCCACTTATTAATTGGCAATCTTAGTGTCTGTGCTACTGTTCAGGAAGCAGTCTCCTGTACCAATACATTCAAGGGTGCCTCCCACTTTGTCTTCTAACAGGTTCAGTGTGGCTGGATTTATGTTGAGGTCTTTGATCCATTTGGATTTACATTTTGTGCATGGCGATAGACATGGATCTATTTACAGTCTTCTACATGCCAATATCCAGTTATGCCAGCACCGTTTGTTGAAGATGCTTTCTTTTTTCCACTGTATAATTTTAGCTTCTTTGTCAAAAATCAGGCGTTCATACGTGTATGGGTTAATGTTGAGGTGTTCAATTCTATTCCATTGGTCTGTCTATTTTTGTGCCAATACCAAGCCATTTTCAGGACTATAGCTCTGTAATAGAGCTTGAAATCCGGGATGGTGATGCCTCCAGATATTGTCTTGTTGAACAGGATTGTTTTGGCTATCTTGGGTCTTTTGCTTTTCCATATAAAGTTGATTATAAAGGTCTGTGAAGAATTGTGCTGGGATTTTAATGGGGATTATGTTAAATCTGTATATTGCTTTCAGTAAGATTGCCATTTTTACGATGTTGATCCTACTTATCCAAGAGCATGGGAGATCTTTCCATTTTCTGGTGTCTTCTTTAATTTCTTTCTTCAAAGACTCAAAGTTCTTGCTATCCAGGTTTTTCACTTGTTTGATTAGCATTACCCCAAGATATTTTATGTTGTTTGTGGCTATTGTATTCTCAGCCCTTTTATCATCTGTCTATAGTAAGGCTAATGATTTTCTTGAGTTGATCTTGTATCTTGCCACTTTGCTGAAAGTATTTATCAGCTGCAGGAGTTCCTTGGTAGAGTTTTTTGGGTCACTTATATAAACTATCATATCATTGCAAATAGTGAAAGTTTGACCTCTTCCTTTCCAATTTGTATCCCCTTGATCTCCTTTTGTTGTCGTATTGCTCCAGCTAGAATTTCAAGTACAATATTGAAGGGGTATGGAGAGAGTGGACAGTCTTGTCTTGTTTGTGATCTTAGAGGAATCACATTGAGTTTCTGTCCATTTGGTTTGATGTGAGCTGTTGGTTTGCTGTATATAGCTTTTATTATGTTGAGGTATGTTTCTGTTATCCCAGATCTCTCCAAGACCTTTATCATGAAGGGGTGTTGGATTTTGTCAAACACTTTTTCAGCATCTAGTGAGATGATCATGCGATTTTTGTTTCTCAGCTTGTTTATATGGTGGATTACATTGATGGATTTTTGTATGTTGAACCAACCCTGCTGATGTGTTCTTGGATTCAATTTGCCAGGATTTTATTGAGTATTTTTGCATCAATATTCATGAGGGATATTGATCTGAAGTTCTCTTTCTTAATTGTGTATTTATGTGGCTTGGGTATTAAGGTTATTTTTTTATTTTTTATTTTTTTGGTTTTTTGAGACAGGGTTTCTCTGTATTGTTTTGGAGGCTGTCCTGGAACTCGATCTGTAGACCAGGCTGACCTCGAATTCACAGAGATCCACCTGCCTCTGCCTCCTGAGTGCTGCGATTAAAGGTGTGGGCCACCAACCCCCGGCAGGTATCAAGATTATTGAAGCCTCATAGAAAGAGTTTGGCAAAGACCCTTCTGCTTCTATTGCATGGAATACTTTGAGAAGAACTGGTATAAACTGTTCTTTGAATTTCTGGTAGAATTCTGCACTGAGACCATCTGGCCCTGGCTTTTTTTTGGTTGGGAGACTTGATGACCCCTTCTATTTCGTTAGGGGTTACAGGTATATTTAACTTGCTTATCTGTTTTTGATTTAATTTTGGCAAGTGATATCTATCCAGAAAATTGTCCATTTCATTTAGGTTTTCAAATTTTGTGGAGTACAGGTTTTCAAAGTATGATGTGATGATTATCTGGATTTCCTCAGTGTCCGTTGTTATGATCCCCTATTCATTTCTGATTTTGTTAATTTGCATGTTCACACTCTGTTGTTTGGTAAGTTTGGATAAAGGTTTGTCTATCTTGTTGATTTTTTCAAAGAACCAACTCTTTGTTACATTGATTTTTTTGTATTGTTTTCCTAGTTTCTGCTTTATTGATTTCAGTCCTCAATTTGATTATTTCCTGGCATCTACTCCTCCTGGGTGAATTTGCTTCTTTGTGTTCTAGAGCTTTCAACTGTGCTGTTAATTCTCTAGTGTAACTATTCCCTAGTTTCTTCATGTGGGCACTTAGTGCTATCAACTTCCCTCGTAGCACTCCTTTCAAAGTGTCCCATAAATTTGTGTATGTTGTGTCCTCTTTCTCATTGAATTCTAGGAAGTCTTTAATATCATTTTTTAAAAATTTCTTCTTTGACCAAGGAATGGTGCGATTGTGCATTATCCAACTTCCATGAGTTTGTAGGGTTTCTACAATTTGTGTTGTTGTTGAATTCTAATTTTAACGCATGGTGGTCTGATAAGGTGCATGGAGGTATTCCAATTTTTTTGTACCTGTTTGATATGTTGCCAAGCATGTGGTTGATTTTTGAGAAGGTTCCATGTGGCGCTGAGAAGAAAGCATATTGTTTTTTATTTGGGTGGAATGTTTTATAGATGTCTGTTAATCCCAATGGATCATAACTATCTTTCACTATTGGGCCATAACTGTCTCTCACTGTACAGTAGTATTCCACCAGCCCTGCCCTGAAGAGGCCTCTCGCTTCCCTATCTTGTCCCCCCTATACTTGCTCCAGCACTATCTGGATAAACTTCAGTTGTCCTGAGACCGCAGCAGGATGAGGGCAGTATCTTAGGCTTGAGTTTCCCACAGAGCCTCTGCTGTGTCATAGCGTTTGCTCTGTCCCTGTGGCCCTCCTGGGTCTCCTGTCCACCATGCTTTCCTATGTTTCTTCCAGAATTGAGCCAAGGCAGGGCTCTCAGGAGGGACTCCAGGAAGCAGCATCAGCAGCATCTGGCCCTCGGCTAGAGATGAAATGATCAGACCTTGACCTGGACTTAAGAGTCATTGTGTGATTCCGTTGGCTTCCCAGGGATCAGATGCACTCTGGAGGGAAGGCTAGTCTGTGTGTTCCATCCACTCCTGGTGTCCCGCCCCCACCCTCCTTTCCTTCTCCTGGACTTGTCATCCACTTTACCCGGCCACAGCAGATGATGGAGAGGGCCATCTGTCACATCTTATCCACAACAGCCAGCCTATTTTCTACTCCTTTGTCTAATCATGAAATCCCCTCCTGGAATGCAAGCTCTTTGTGAAATGACCTTCAGCGACATGTTTGTGTACCCTGTTGGCATTTTGCCCTCAGCGACAGGCAAGCTCCTGGGTTTTGGGTTTTTGTGTAGGCCCCTCCGGCCACTCCAGAATGCTTCACCTATTACTACATGATGGGTAGCCTGCTGCCATTCTTGAAGACAAATGAATTCCTTTTGTCTTGTTGAATTACATCTCCCTCTTCTTGAAACCCATGTTAGTCAGCTCTGCATTTGCTACAACAAATACCTGAGCTAAGCATCTTGAAGTGGGGAAGGGTTTGCTTCAGCTCACAGTCTCTTTGGTATCACTCTACAGTTTTTGGCCCATTGCTTTTGGGTCTGTGGTAAGACCCCACGTTGTGTTGGATGTACACGGCTGAAGATGCTGTTGACTTTATGAGGCAGCGGAGAAGCGGCTGGGGTCCTAATACCACCTCAAGGGCCTGACTCCATCAGCCCAGCTTCTTTGCACTTGCTCTACCTCCTAAATGTCCCAACACCTCCCAGTAGTGCTATGGCCTGGGAACCATGTCCTCTAACTTGGAGACAGCAGAGTGAGCACCTTGTGTTAATCTTCATAGGTTGCTAGGACCCTTGACTGGGAGGAGCAGTAGTCGCTTCTATTGGTGTAGTTCCTCCTCATAGTTTTATGTGCAACAAGCTGACAATGGAATGAATCGAATCTTTTCTTAAATTAACCAGACAGTAAGTACTTGCCAAAGATTACTGAATGAAGTCACTGGGTCATTATAAAAAGGCCTGTTATTTGCTAACAAATGCTGATTTCTTTCTGAAGTATTGTTACAACAATGTAAGCCAATTTGTATTAATTTTAGCTGCTACCAGTTAAAATTAATTGAATACCAACCAAGAGCTGATCATGTTTTCAAGATCCTCTGAGGACTTGTGCATAATGAAAACTACACTTTAATTAAAAAGCTCTAACTGGAAAGTGTGCGGTTCAGGAAAAGCGGCTTCCACAGGCTTCCCACTTTGCTCCGCGTGCTCACTGGGGACTGTATTTCTTGGGTATTTTACATGCTGGTCGTCATCACAGGTGAAAAATTAACCCAGGTCCCAAATCTTATCCCATCTTCTCTCCTGTGTTCACAGGTTGTTTACGATGGATGGGCATCTTTTGGACAACTCAAAGGATTTGCAAGACAGTTCTTTTTATGTTGCTGCAGGACTGGAGACTTTCAAATCTATTCCTTACTGGAAGTCTCCACGGGTCCCCAGTGAGATCCAGCAGTGAGTGCAACTTGTACCTTTCCTTTAGATTAAAAAAATCTGTCTATCCATCTTCCTATCTATCTACTGTCTATCTGTCTGTCTATCTATCTATCTATCTATCTATCTATCTATCAATCATCTATTTACCTATCCATTCATCTGTCTGTCTGTCTATCAATCTACCTATCCATTCATCTATCTATCTATCTATCTATCTATCTATCTATCTATCTATCTATCTACTACCTATTTCTACTTACATATTCTGTCTCTATATATGCTTATGTGTGCACACACATATCATTTGAACCTTACATTTCTAAAATCAGGCATGGAGTGATGCACAATCTTTGAGAGTCCAGAGTCTACACTGTGGATACAGACAGTCCAGGGCAGTGTCCCTCTGAGATTGGTCCCTCAGAGAGACATGTCCAGTGTGTACGGCAGCTGCTCTTGCAGGCCTCAGTGCCCATGAGTTAGGAAGGGGTATGGATACATGCAAAATGGCCAGTCAGACCAGAGTTCTGTGTCTGGTGGGTGAGGGACAGCCAGATTTGAATTTCAGTCCTGCTACTGATCAGCTCCAAGGTGTGGAGTTGAACCTGTGCCTCTCAGGTCTTGGTTCCTTGCAGAGAAGCCAGCAGGTTCTTGCTTCACTGGGTAATGGTGAGAGCTGTATGAACAATTGAGAGCTATTTGAATAATCCATGCTTTGGAAAACATCAAAACTCTTAAAACGTCCGGCTCCCTCCAGCATCCCAAACCCTGTTACCGTGCCACCCTGGACTAGGCACCACCCTAATAAATCAGGGGCCACCTGACTTTTAAAGACCTCCTGCCTTCTTTCCCCATCCAGGAGATGGATGCAGTCATCATCTGGGTCTTTTGTAGAAAGCAGGTCCTCTTTCTAGGTTAAGGATGCTCCTGTAGTTTATGAAGACAAGTTGAGGCTGGGCTGAGTTTGAATGCACTAACTGCCTCTCTTTGCCTTTCAGGAGGTTTGTGGGCTATGACAAATGCACACGGACAAAGAAAAAAGTAAGTTTTGAAAGATGGATGACCACTGTTACTGATTCTGGTGTCTCCTGGTCATTGGGAGGAGCCAGACCTGCCCATGAGAGGGAGGAGGAGGATGATAAGGTCATCTTTGGAACTCAGAGCCTAGAACAGGAAGGGAGGCATACAGAGACATCTGGGCCATGGCATGGCAGTCTGCACTGAGACCCCAGGCAGCTCAGGTGAGCACACTGTACACTGTGGGATTGGGCGTCTGGAATTATCTTTTAAAATGTATTTATGGTACAAAGCAGCGGCTCTCGGGCATTCAGTGAGCACGTCACAAGCACAGTGTAGAGCTCTGAACTCATATGCTATCTGTGTTGAATGGGGCACCCTCCAGTGTGATAAAACGCTGACACCAGTTTTGATGAGGTTTCGCTTTCTGTGCCTGTGACACAACTCTGGCTTACGCCACACTCTTTAAAACCAGCAGGGACATTTTACGTGGTCCCTTGTATGATATGAGTGTTTATACATTTGGATGGATTTGCTTCCAAATACTTGAATTAGGATGTAAAAAGATAGTATAAAGATTGTAAAAAGCAAATCCAGGTCCCCCTTACTTATCTGTGCTGTGGCATGGTTGAATCTTTGAGAGTTGTGGGTCCTCCTGAGCAGCTTTAGGCAGGCTTTGTCCCAAAGGATGAGGAGTCCCCTTGTGCCATCCCTGGTGCAGCACCCAATCCCACCCTTGGCTGGAAAGCCAAATGGCCTCTCCAGCAGTGGATCTGGGAAGGAGGGGCAGGCTAGCCCCTTTACCTCCTTCAGAAGGAGACAAGAGTGGTGAAACCCTTTGAGGCTTCTTGGGTTCCTGGGTTCTTTGGCCTCTACACCTGATGCCTTTTGGTCTTCATCTACACACTAGGTGGAGCCCAAAGGAAAAGAACCTCTCAAAAGTGACAGTGTGCCACCTAAAAGCCAGGATTCTGTTTACTATGCCAAAGAGAAAAGGAAGACAGCACCGGGACCTTTAGATCAAAGCGGTGCAGGTAATGGGCGTTCATCTCCTGCAGGCTATGAAAAGTGCTCTCTCTTTCTCTGTATGTGTGTGTATGAGGTATGTGTGGTGTGTGTAGTGTGTGTGTATCGTGTGTGTATATGTATAGTATGTGTGGTGTATGTGTATATATTGTGTGTGTATATGTATGATGTGTGGTGTATATGTGTATATAATGTGTATGGTATGTATGGTATGTGTGGTGTGTACATGTATAGTGTGTATATATATATGGTGTATGCATGTATAGAGTGCGTATGTATGGTGTGTGTGGTGTATGCATGTATAGTGTGTGTGGTGTGTGTATATAATGTATATATGTGTGGTGTGTACATGTATAGTGTGTGTATATATGGTGTATGCATGTATAGTGCGTATATGTATAGTGTATGCATGTATATTGTGTATATGTTTGACATGTGGTATATGTGCGTGTATTGTGTGTATATGTATGGGGTGTGTGGTATATGTATGTATAGTGTGCATATGCTTGTATGTATGTATGTGGTATGTATATGTAGAATGTGTATGGCATATGTATATGTATAGTGTGTATATGTATGGCACGAAAGGTGTATGTGCATTATAGCATGTACATGTATGGTGTATATGGTACATATGTGTGTGTATAATATGTATATGTATGTTGTGTGATTCACACAAGGTCTTTTCTCGGAACTACTTGATTATCAAGTGTTCAGCTGTGGGGCAGTAGTAGGCTGCAGACAAGAGCAGTAACATTCCCAAGTTGAGGGCAATAGGAAGATTTAAAAATATCATACTTAAAGTAAATTCCAGATTCACATGCACATGAGGATTATAGAGATTCTTGCTATAAGAACAATATCAAATGAGCCTGATGTCTGAGGGAACCTTGAACATAGAAGCCATCTAGCTTGTTCCTGTGTATCTTTAGAAGAGAGACCCAGACCTGACCATAAAATGAAATAATTAAAATAGCTCTCGCCATGCCTACTCTCATTCTTACTGCTGTACTTACTGTCCCCTCTGCCAAGCCCTGTTGAGTGCTTATGTCAAATGAAGTTTTTCCTGACCTGTGTCTCGCTTTCCAGTCTGACAGACCTGGGGAAGGACTTGGTGCAGACTCAGGTTATGGCGCAGACAGGAAGCAGGTGGGAGAAGTCCCTCCCATAGTGTTATACAGACAGGAAGCAGGTGGGAGAAGTCCCTCCCATAGTGTTATACAGACAGGAAGCAGGTGGGAGAAGTCCCTCCCATAGTGTTATACAGACAGGAAGCAGGTGGGAGAAGTCCCTCCCATAGTGTTATACAGACAGGAAGCAGGCTGGAGTCCCTCCCACACTCCACAGCATCCGGGTGGTTTGGGAAGCCTCTGGACATAGACATGCTCAAAATTTCAAGGGTCCAGGACTTTCACAGAGATGGAAACTAGACAGATATTACAGAAATGGGGCCCATGAACTGAGATCTCAATAGAAGCAATCATGAAAGAGGAGAGGGGAGAGAGGGAGGAAAAGAGAGAGGGGAGGGATGGATATGCAGATATGCAGGGACCCCATCTGAGCTTCAGTCTGATGGTACAGCAAGGTCAGAAGCTACTGAGTTGAAACTTTGTTTCAGGAAATGTAAGTTGGGGATCAGTTTTTCTGCTGTTTGAAAAGATTGTTATTTTCCCTTAGAAGGTGACGTGTATAAAGCTCAGACTCCTGCTAAGGAGGCCCAAGAGGCCCTGGAAGTCAGGGAGGACCCGGAAGTGAAGGTGGAGGTCCCAGTTGACCAGGTGGGTCGCAAGGGCTGAGACATCTTGACTCAGCCGTGTCCGCTCCTACTTCTCCTACAACCCCCCATCTTCAACAGCCTCACCCAAGTTCTCCCCGCGCCTCCCGCAGGTTCTGTGCACTAGACGTTAGCTACTTGCCAGTCCTTGAGAGTCCCCACGCCAGACATTTTCATAGCTGTTTTTCCTTCCTCAAGTTCTTCCGCTGAAGGGGTCACTGGGACAACTGTCACCTGGGTGGCAGCAGTATGTCACATCATTTATATAGTATTTCTTCTATACCCCAAGCCAGTTGACCCAAGAACTTCCGAGGGAGTCTCTTGCCTCTTTCCCATCTCACAGTAGGAGTGCTTGGATTACGGATATGCACATCAACATCCAGGTCTTATGTGGCTTTTGTGGCTCTAAACTCAGGTCTCCTGACTTCTGTAGCAAGTACTCTTACTGAGTCATCTCTCTGGACCCTTACTTATTTTTTGAGATAGAGACTTGCTAGGCTAGCCCAGGCTGTCGCAAAACTCACGGTCTTCCTTCCTCGACCTCTTAAGTTCTAGAATTATAGATGTGTAAGTGCTATACCTTGCTCCTAGCATTTTTGTTTGCATGAAAAGAATTTAGAGACTCTCTCTAAGGATTTCTCCATTTTCTTGATGGAGGTGGAGGTAAATTTGGGGCCAACAATTCTGTATTTGGAAAAGCTTCATTTCCCCCTTCCAGTTCTGCCCATAGAACTAGTCTGGAATTGCACACTGGTTCACTGCACTCTCTGCTGTTTCAGAGGAGTTTGGCACTGACTGTGGTTCAACTTGATAATATATTTTCTCCCCAGGTACCAGCTGAAATTGTTAAAGAAATTGACGAGATAGGCGACAACAACCCTGACCTGGAAAGCGGCGTGGTGAGTGAATTTTATTTTACTTATGATGGTAGGGGTCCAAACCACCTTCTTGTGATAGGCTAGGCAGAACTCATGGTTGGTGGTAAGGGATCTGGGACCACAGGTTGGTCCCAGATCACAAAATACTAATCACCCTTGTACCCGTCTTAATTATTCTCCACTGTACTTCCCAATCACAATTGTGTAAGCTTTCCTCCAACAGGTTTTAGTGTGCAGGCAGGTCAGGGTGGTGAAGTACAGCAGCCTCCATGCAGGTCGCTCCCTATGATAAGAGAGCCATCCCAAACCCACCAATGCCCGCTGTGTCCATAGCCCCGTGCTGGGAGGTCAGACTTTGTGTAGCTTCCTGCAGATGGCAGCTGAGGTTTGTGCAGCACACCGGGCTGTAGCTTTTTGCTTGTTTATTCCTGTACAGGCTTTTTTGAAACGTCATCTGGGGAGGCAGTGTGTTCCAGGGTCTCTTGAGACCAGGTGGTGACTAGCCTCCTTAAGATGTGTACACTGGGAAAACAAAATACACTTTACATATACGATCATGATCATGTTGCTAGGAAACGGACGTCCTCGTTTTTTGTCAATATTATCCTGCCCCCCGGGTGTCTTTCAAAGGAGTTTGTTTCAGACATTTGGCCAGGCTGAGGGATAGTCAGATCTTGCCCCAGTCTGGGTGTTCCGCCATGGTGCACTCCACAGCTGCAAACCAACACAGGCTTCAGGGATGATGAGTGGCTGCTGGAGATTCCCTATGGTCCCTGGCTCTTTACCCAGCTTGGCAAGTGGCTTTTGAAGGAAGGAGAAGGATCCACAGGACGTTTGTTAGGTTTTATAAACACACCAGAGGAGCCTGGGAATCTCAAAAGAGTCAGAGTCAGAGAGAACAGCACCTTCAGAGTCCTCCATACACATCCCTGAAGGGCTTGGGTTTGGGGGTGGTTTTTAGTGAGAGAGGTTACTGTGTGTGTCCAGAAGAACAGGGGGTACCTTCAAATGAAGAGCAAAGGTTAGTTTTAATTTCTCAGGTGTCACAGAGTAAGGCTGTTCTGGGAATGGGAATAATATGAAGGAGATCGCCGCAGAGCATCCAAGGGTGAGGGTGAAAGCACTTCTTGTTCCCACCGGGATCATGTGGAGACAGGAGACGGTGCTGTTGGGTTCATGGCAGGGCTGCACAAGCAGACACATTCTGAAAGCTCTCTGCACATGCTCTTTCCACCAAGTTTACCCTGTTATACCGACTCACCATGGATATCTGTGGAGGCCCCTACAGGGGTCTCATGGGTCAGTTATCTCACGCCAGCCTATGGCAGATTTAACTTTACAGAGTGATTCAAGATATCCCCTTTGATGTGAGCAACATGGTTGGGATATTTGCCGACACAAATGCTCATCTTCAGAGAGCTGGGCCAAGACCTAAGCACTGAGGTGGATAGTGGCAGAGCAGCCATGCCTACTGTTGCCAAATGTTTGAACGTTGGTTGATGTGGGGCAGGGTTTGGGACACCCGAGTGCTTCTGAGTGCCTTGTGTGAGCCACACGCTGATGCTGACATTGACTCTTTAAGGCATATGTAATGAGAAAAAGGGAAAACTCGATGGAAAACACAGCTTGTCAACACTTTGATCTGAAATCAATAGATGGGACTCTGGATTTCTTTTTTTTTAATTTTAAAAACAATCTTTTCTCATTTTACATACCAATCCCAGTTTCCACTCCCTCCCCTCCTCCTGCTACCACCGTCTTCCGTCTTCCTTCTCACCCCACCCCCATCCACTCCTCAGAGAGGCTAAGGCTTCCCATGGGAGTCAATGAAATCTGGAACATCTCTTCCAGGCAGGACCAAGGCCCTCCCCGCTATATCTAGGCTGAGCAAGGTAATCCTCCAAAGGGGATGGGCTCCAAAAAGCCAGCTCAGGCGCTCGGGATAAATCCTGGTTCCTCTGTCAGCGGCACCAGAGTCTGCCCAAGCCACACCACTGTCACCCACAGTCAGAGGGCCAAGTTTGGTGCCATGCAGGCTCTCCTACTGTCAGTCCAGAGTCATTGAGCTCCCACTCTTTCAGGCCAGCCGTTTCCATGGGTTTCCCCAAACTGGTCTCGACATCTTTGCTCATGTTATTGCTCCTCTCTCTCTTCAACTGGACTCTGGGAGCTCACCCAGTGCTTAGCTGTGGTTCTCTGCACCTGCTTCCATCAGTTACTAGATGAAGGTTCTATGATGATAATTCAGGGAGTCATCAGTCTGACTACAGGGGAAGGCCAGTGCAGGCACCCTCTCCACTGATGCTTAGGTCCTTAGCTGAGGTCATCCTTGTGGATTCCTGGGAAATTCCCTGGTGCCAGGTTTCTCTGTAGCCCCATAATGACTCACTCAGTGGAGATATCTCTTTCCTTGCTCTCCTTCTCTAGACTCTGGATTTCAACACAGATTTGAAGTACATCAAAGTCTTGAGTATTTATTCCCTGCAATGAGCCAAACTGGTTACTAGCTTTTTCTTCTCAGATATCCTCTGTCAGGGTTCACTGTCCATTTCTCATGAACAGGGCAGAATCAACTTCCTGGTGCTCCTTCTGGGAGCTTTCAGTTCCTCCAAGTCTGCATCCTCTCTCTTTGCTTCCAGGCATGCCAGTCACAAGGGTTGCCTCTGCGCTCTTTGGATATGGGTATGAAACACCCCATAAACTTGAAATCGTCTGACCCCAAAATCTAGCCATGTCTTGGAAGGTTCTGAGTGATGTAGCGTTTGTGTGCATTAGACTAACCAGTGATGAAACAGAGAGAAGTCACACTCCACTGATCTTTCCTGGCCAGCAGGCCACTGTGCTCCCTACCCACTCTCCGAGTCACTTGTATATTTGTTGATACGTTTATTCTTAGGACTTTTGAGACTGACTACATTAAATTTCTTAGACACACTATTGCTGGCCTGGCCACTGTTGAGATGGGATGTGAAGTCCTTAAGTAGTTGAAGTGGTCTCATCATTTTACATGTCTTCCAGACTATCTTTTTTTTTTAACTTTCCTTTTATTTAATCTTTGTGCCTTTCACAACAATTTCATTCATTTCCTGTCCCCTGCATATCTGCCTCTGACCTTGCAGCCTCCCCCAATAAAATTTAAGAGGAAAAAAGAAAAGAAAAAAAAGAGGGGAAAAATCTCGTCATGGAAGCTGTAGTGTGACAGTGAGACATGTAGTAAACCCTTTTGCCCATATTATCTTTACTTGCAAGTGTTCCTTGCAAAGTGTAATTGTTTCAGACTATGTTACATTCAGTTAAAAAGTATCTATGGATTTGCTTTGAGCTACCTATGATCAAGCCACTAAAATGTAAATAAATAATACAGTACAAGAACAAAATGCTAGTTACCTTGTGAAGCTGCAAGAGACATTGTTAGTAGGAACAATATCTTAAAATATATTTCTGATATATGATCACAGAATTTCTGTGGTCATTGTTTTGGTGTTAAATGTGTAAACTGTGCTATTTTGATAGTTTTTGAGCACTGAATCCCGTGACATTGCTTACTTTCACGATGCTAGACACAGTCTGTTCCCAAGACAGTTTCATCCACCATACAGTCTGCCCTGGAAGCAGACTCCCTCTCCTCTCTCCTCCAGTTCCAAAGCTCAGCACTGAGCCCTTGACACAGCCTCAGTCCGAAAAAGCTTTTCAGGTGCTTTTGTTAGGATGAGACCCTCCTTAGGCCCCTGCCCAGGAGTTGTGGACAAGTGTGTTCATATGTGCAAAATAAAAATAAACAAAAATTAGAACCATGTTTCTGTGTGAGAGTTCTTCCTCCTCAGGACCCTGAAATAGGCTAAATGTACAGTCACACCCACCCTGACAACACCCATGCTCAATACTGTCTCTATCACCAAGGCGGGATGTTACCAACAGTAGCAAATGTGAAGAATGAAATGTGTACTGTGTCCTTTTACCTATTGCAAATTGTCTTTGTTGAACATGGCTTTAATGATAATGGGTGAGTGCTGTTGGACTCGGTGGACTGGAATAGTCTCCAGCTCGTAAAAAATCACATTATTTGTTTGCTTGTTTATTATGTGGGTACTGTAGTGCACTCATGTGGAGGTCTGAAGGCAATTTGTATGACTCCGTTCTCTCCTCCCACCATGTAGACCCTGGGAATGGAGCTCATATTATCAGGTTGGTGGGAGGCACCTTTACCCGCTCAGTTACATCACTGGCTTGCTCTCTGTAGTCCCGCCGACTGTAAATGATTCATGGAGACACAACACTTTATGAATCTAAACTACCTGCTAATTTTTGTAAAACCAAATGTAAAGATTTTGGAGACCTTAATTTCTTTTGCTGAATGTAGAAGAAAGTCTGACTGGCAGGCTGAATGGTGTATGCGTAGATCACATAAGACTGTGAAGATTATATTTAAAAAGTTCAATATTGTGGGCATGTGTGTTATCTGTGTAGGGATTTGTGCAGTGCCTGTGAAGGCCAAATGAGGGCATTAGATCCACTGGAGCTGAAGTTACAGACAGTTGGGAGCCTCCTGACATGGGTACTGGGAACCAAATTCTGGTCCTCTTTAAGAACAGGAGGCGCTTGTAACCCCTGAGCCATCTCTAGCCCCTTGGTGCAGTCTTTAGAAGGGTAATTTTGCTTTTTTTTAAAATTAGAATTAAGTCTGCACATATCATTCCTAGCTACCAAGAAGATAACCAGAGATTGCTCTCCAGTACTAATTAATAACAAATGATAGAGAATTGTGGCACTCACCTATGGGAGTTGGATAATTTGTGGTTCTGCCATAGAATGGAAGAACAGATGACTATGAAAACTCAGGTTGATCTGGACATATGGAAGGGTGGGAGTTCTCAGAGGTTAATCAAGCAAAACCAAACCAAAGTACAACAGAATAGGAGGTTGTCACGTTTGTGTGGCTGTGAGCTTATACAGGTAGAACAACACAAGGAAGAAAGGACTTTGGTGGCTTCTGGTCTAGAGGCTCCCATCATGGCAGCGATGGCATAGCATAGTCTGTGGTGGTAGGGGCACATGCTGTATCAGGAAGCAGAGAGGAGGCTGGAGACTGGGGAGTGTATAACCTTCAAGACCTTCCCCAGGGGACCCAATTCACCTAGGTCTAAGTTCCTAAAGACTCCATAGCTTCCCTAGACAGCCCCACCAGCTAGAGACCAGACAAGTCTGTGGGGGCATTTCACATTCAAATTCAATAAACAGCTAACATACTATACGTAAACAAAACAAATCAAAAGTTTAGAAAAATACAGTGTTGAGGGGAAAGGGAGGGGAAATCAGGAGGAACAAGACAAGGGGATAGCAGCCTGCAGCAGGCTTGGGACTTTGCATGGAAACATGTGGTGTTGTTGATGCGGAAGAATTGGAGCTAAACTGGGGCAGTGAGAGGAGACGGGGAGGCTAAGGATTTATTTATGGCACTTTTTCTTGCAGATACTTGATGACCATATGTTTTTGTCTTAACACTAGGAAAAGGAAGTAGAAAGGCTTTACGAAGACATTGACAGAAAGGTTTGTATCAACAAACTGTAGTTTTGTGTTTCCCATGCGGAAGATAGGATGCTCCACGGACCCTCCAATCTATCAGGTGCTTTTTAGGAATTCCTTACCTGTCAGAAATCCTGGCCCGGTTCTTGGGGTTAGAAAACAAAGAAGCTGTCTGAGGCTCTGCTATGAAGACAGAGCCTTAGGGAACCCTCCCTATGTGCTCTCCCCGGGGAGGCACACTCAGGTGTCCTAGGCGGTGGGAATAGCTCTGTCTTTTCCCTGCAGCCATGTACTGTGAGGGGTGTGTCATCTTCCATGGTTGTGCACGGCGACCCCAGATAGATAGTGTCCCCACTGGCCTTCAGCTCGGCAATGGCTCCATGTTAAGTAGGATTAAATTATGATCATTAAGTGAGCATTGGTGATGATTTTTGGTTGAATATGTATAATTCATTCTGCTTACTCTTTGGTTCACTTGGGCTGTTCATCGCTTCATAGAGAACGTGGGACATTCATAGAGACGTGAATGTCAGTAATGTAATCAAGCTATCGTGGGTGGGATAGTGGCTCAGCCTAGAGCCACATGTGGGGTCCACAGTTTATCAGGATGGAGACTACGGGAACACAGCTTAAAATCCCATGCTCTGCTCCCTCCGCTGTTGGAATTGGATTGCTTAATCATAACAAAATCCAACTCCAGAGTATTCATAAAGCCTTCCCAGTGCTGCTGTTTTCATTGTATTAACCGATTTCTAGAAGGATCTCCAGCGTGCTGGGGTGGGTGGCTCTGTGAGCTGCGGTCTCTGTAGAGTCGTGCAGACAGCCATGCTTGGCGGCACTGGTGTGCCGGGTCAGCACTTTTGCAGGCGTCATGGTGGAGCGATTTTTTCCTCTGTGCACTCTGCACTTCAATTACCATTTCCCATGTTTGCAGGCTTGGGGGTCAGTGAGACACGGACTTGAAAGTCCTGTAAAGTGTGACCTCTCCGTTTAAGATGGCGCTTGTATGATGGCCTGTAAGCTATTGGCTAGGCTGCACAACAAATGTTCGTGTACCTATGCTTGAAATCAGGCTGGTGGTCATTAATTCCTGAGTTAAAATGGGGGCATCAGCTCTGTTATCTGTCACCTTGCCTGGGCTGGAAGGACAACTGTGTACACAGAGATTCCCCATCATCGTAAATGACATCTGGTTTAAATGTCAAGCTAGCCTTTGGAAAATTCATCACTTGTCTGGCACATGTGTCATTTGCTCTTTTCATGGTGGGGGGAGAGCCAAAGATGACATAATGAAAAGATTCAGCACCCAGGAAGCAGAGGCAGAGGAAGAACTCTAAGTTTAGTTCTATGTAGTGAGTTCCAGGGCAACCAGAGGTACACAATGAGCCCCTGCCTCAAAAAGCAAAACAGTGCAACACCCCAAATATTCCAGATTGAAAGCAGCATTGGACGTGGGTAGTTGTACCATTCTGAGCTTCATTTTATCTGTAAAAGGGGGTAGCCACCACATGGTGAAACCAGTCCACACTTCCATGTGGTGGCAAATCATGAGTAATTGGTGTTTGCCACAGGCCCATTAGAAGAAAAAGTCAGACTAGGAAAGCAAGGCGTGAAGTGTCCGGCACCAATCCCTCTACCCATAGTGGTTTTTCCTTCACCCAGAAGCTGTTTGTGCTTGTGTTTCAAGATTGTCTCCATTTTCCCTCCCTCCCTGCCTTTCTCTCTCCCCCTCCCTCCCTCTTTCTTTTTTAAAAATGTGTTGTTTTAAAACATTACAAAAATCTATTTTACAAATGTGGGCTGGACTTTGAGGCACACGCCTATAATCCTAGCACTTGGGAGGCTGAGGCAGGAAGATCTCTACTTCCATGTCAGGAGTGGCTGTACAATGAAGATGCTGCCTCAACAGGAAAAAAATAAAATAAGAAGGCCAACCAACCAACCAACCAACCAACCAACCAACCAACCAACCAACCACACACTAGATTCCCCACCACTCCCATGAGCAACAAACCAAAGAGGCTCCCACTCCATAATTCTGTGGTTAACACTGAGGACATTCCCAGTGTTTTAAATTTCATTCCCGATATACTTAGGAATGTTGTGTACTTGTTTAAGATGGGTTCACTCTCGCTAGTGAGGCAGAGACAGACTCACAGTGGGTGGTACCTGGGAAGCTCTCCTAGGTCTCTGTACAGGTGTCCCATGGCGTCATCCATTCTGACCTTTTAGTTTAGATGAGGTGGTTTCGTTTTTTGTATTGAACAAGTACTCAATTTGATTTTTCATGAGGTGTATATATATTTTCTGTGGTTACAACCACATTCAGGAGAGAAACCTATAAAGAGAAAAAGGAAACGGAGTTGAAAACAAGTGACAAAGTTGTAAATAATGGGTCTAACTCCTAGGCCATTCGACTTCCATCCTGTCCTGTATTTGTTGGCTAAGAACTTTCTAGAACATACCACCAAACCTTGGGGGGCCCTGGGCATAAAGGTTTTTTATTTCTATCATATGATGTGACGACGGAATCCTTTCTGATATCTGAACATCCATGGATGCCATAATGACAAGTTCGATGCAAAGAACAAAGGAGATGGAAAGTTAATTGTGCATGTTTTTAAGAGACGTTAATATCAACTATAAATAATTATGATGGAAAATAAGTGCCACTAGCTGAAACAGTACCTAGCATGAGCCTATTAGCATCCATATGAACTCCCTTTAGAGGTACATTTTATAAGCTTGATGACAACATGAAGCCTCTTCAAAAGCACTCTTGGGTTAATACCAAAGTTGGTTGAACATCACACACAGGGTATTTTCTGGAAGAACAGCAGGTTTGGTTCCCTTTAAGCACCTGGATTTTGGTATATCTGGAAACAGGTGTGGAAAAATCACCAAGCAGCATGTTGGTACATGGCTGTTACCAAATACATCCCTTGGGATACTTTTAAAATATGTGCATGCGGTTGACACTTGAGTTTGAAACATCTTGCTGTCAAAATGGAAATGTTTAGAATGTAATGTAAGTCTGGACTCTTCTCTCTGGCCTGCTCCAGCCGCGGTGTGTCGAGGAGTGGGTTACTTGTCAGGTTTTGAAGAAATCATCCTGTACAACATGGATTGGGTCTTCTCTCCTATTAGGGTTTTGGCAAGTTCATAACCTAATCTTCCAACCCAAGAGAGTTCTGCTGTGAGTGCTGGACTGTGCAGTAGAGAAACAGTGCCGGGTGGACAGTGGGGCAGGTGTGTCCCTGGGGGATGGCTGGTTCTGCTGTGCAGCTGTGCGCAGTTTCTCACAGAACGCCCCCTGTCCTTTTCTCACCCCGATTTCCTGACTTTTTTTGAAGGGGGTGTTTGCTCCCACATTTCTCTCGAAGACAGGCCTTGCCATGTACTGCCAATTGTCATGCCCACTTGACTTAGGTTTGCTTCTCTGGACTGATGTGTAAGCATTTCCCTGTCCTGTGTCTTTGTTTCCAGTGCCAAGTCTCTGAGGAAGTGCGTGGTCTCAACACCTGGAATCTTGATTCCATCCGCGTCAGTCTTGGTGCTCTCAGGCTCTGTGACTGTCTCACTGTTTTCTGTTTGGTTCAACAGCTTTGTTGAACAGTCCCACATGTCCAGCAAGACCAGCCCTTCATGCCTGGACAATGCTTTGCTCAGGTTTCTCTTGTCCCTTGCCAAATCAATCAATCAATCAATCAATCAATCAATCAATCAATCAATCCTAATAGTTAAATTGGAGAATCCAAGATTTAGGACTCAGAGTCAGAAGAGGCTTTAGACTTTAGAAGCAATCATCTGTTTCACAGTGTAGGAACCCAGGGATCTTCAGAACCACAATTTGACTCAAAGCCTTTGTTACAATGGCAAGAAAATTAAAAATAGAAGCTGTGGAGATGGGACTGGAGGGGATGGCACAGCGGTTAAGAGTGCTTGCTGCTCTGGCAGAGACCTGGGTTCAGTTTGTAGCATCTGTGTCACAAGGTCACAACAGCCTGTGACTTCAGACACACACAAATAAAAAATCTATCTGATAGTGTGGGCTACTTGGATATAGGATTCATGGTTTATATCCACCAACATGAATAATACTTAAATGATTTAATGTTCCTTATTGAATGGTGAACTGAGAACATTTGACAACTCCCTTCCCCTGTAGCTACTGTTGCAAACACCACTTGGTCATCTTTCTGAAGTAAATAAAATGTGTGTACAAATCCCTAACAGTGACCTACTCTTGTGCATTTAGTTGGTCAGCGGAGGACTGTCATTTAATTGACACCACCAGCAATGCCAATAAGGCCAGTGTCCTTTTCTGATCCAGCACTGTTTCTGACTCAGGGTTTTTTTTGGTGATAATATGAACATGGCATTGTCTGTTTAATTGATTTTTAAAATTCATTACCTACCCACTGTCCTTTCTGTTTTTCCCTCTTCATTATCTTGATGCTGCTCTGTCACCACAGCCTAGCTGTTTTATTGCTTTCCTAGGAGTCAGGGTCAATATTGATTGATACTGGGTCTGGAAAGCTAAGTATAAGTCATCAATAATGCTAAGTGGGATGGTGACAAATTAAATATTACGTGATAAAACTTGTAGAGAAACACATGGTTCTAGAAAAAAAATGAAATGTGGATTCCTCTGTACTGAGAAGAGTCCCTTGGATAAGTTAAAAGGAAAAGATGTCACTGTCATCTGAAGAGGACACGTTAGCTCCATCTCAGTCATAGATGAGAGTAAATCCAGGGATGGAGTTGACATCTTAGAATAGCCTGTCTTGTCCCAGGGTGAGATCTATGGAAACAGTCTCGTGTTCATGGAGGTTTTAGAAACCACAATGAGGGAGGCATTCTCTGGTCTGGTTGCAGAGAAGTAGTTGGTGGGAGATCCCTGACTGTGGCTGGATTTTCACTACCTCAGTTGTCACCTTGAAGCCCTGTGCCTTGTGCCTGTTTCCAGCAGAAGACTTCAGTTCTCATCCTGTCTCCTATTCCTCAGTGGAACCAGATTCCCCACCCAGCACCAGTGAGGCCTGAGGGTGTTTGGTACATCTCCCACGCTACAGATCTTTGTGTTTCATGGTTGGATCAGTGGTTCCATCCCCAGCCTTGGCCAGGGACTCACTTTCCTCTATTCTTAGAGCCATTACTGCTTGGCTGAGGGCTGGTGGAAACAATGCTTTTAGGACAGGCTGCTCCTGGCTTTCTCTGGATATTAGATATATTCCTGATGTGGTCATCTGTGAACTTGGTCACCTGGTTTCACTGTTATTGAGCTTCTTAGAGCCAAAGGACGTGCCACAGGTCGAGGCACGCTGTAGGGAGGCCAGCCAGCCTGTGTGAGGCTAGAGAAGAGGGAGAGGGTTTGAGATAGTGCTTTTCATTGGCTGAGGATTCTCCAAGTAGCTTAGACTGGATCCATGCAGAGAGAACCCCGGGAATCTACCCTTTTCTGCCGTTCCACCATTGTGATCACAAGGGCGCACCATGCCTGGCCTTTTCTGGGTGTGGAACTCGGGTCCTTATGTGACAAGTAACTTACTGAGTTATTGTCCCAGCCTCCATGCCAGCCTTCATGTCAGTCACCCTCCATGTCAGCCAACACTTTGAAGCAGCGCTCCTCAGACACGACTCTTTGTCCTCATAAACACCGAGGAGGGTTCACACAGCTTTTGTGTGTTGTATCTTTCAGTAATATACTATGTTAGGAATTGAAACAGAGAAATTCAAGTACTCAGAAGGCCGAGGAAAACAGATCAGGAAATTAAGATCTTACTTTAATATAAAACATTTTAAGAATGTCTGGTTATGCAACTTAGTGGTAAAATACTTCCCTGGTCTTCCAGAGGCCCTGGGTTCAAACTTCAGCGCAAAAAACTAACACACCACAACACACAATACAACGCAAAATAACACCAAACAGCACAAACACAACACACCACAGCACAGAGCACACCTCAACACATAATACAACACAAACAATACAACACACAACATAAACAACACAAACAGCACACAAAATACAACACAAACAATACAACATAAACATAACACCACAATACAACACAAACACAATACAAACATAACACACCACAACACAATGTAACACAAATAGAAACAACAATTCAGAACCTGAGGACTGTAACAAGATATAGCTATTGAATCATTTTAAATTAACTGTAATCAAATATAGTCTAATTAATAAAGTTTTAATGAAAAAACAGTTCTGTTTCCACAAGGAGTCAGTCAGAACATAGGTACTGGCTTCCATTTTTGGCAAGTGTCTTTGGTTCATGGAAGGAAGCAGTTTTCGTGTCTATCTTCATCAGTCAACTACAATATCCTTAGAGCCTCCAGTCTCACAGGCATGTCCTTGGGAGAAGGAGAAAGACTTACATGGCCTTTTAGGTGCCTGTGGGCCGCCTTGGGTGCCATACCCAAGGTTAGCTGCAGTATGAACCAGAACCCACACCCATGAACTCTTGTTCTAACATTTTTTTCTATAACTAGAATGCATTAATAAACATTATGGTTTGAGTGGATTATTGCCAGTGTTTGGTTTTACGCCACTGTGCACTGGTCATTTGGAACATACTGGCTCAGTGAGCCATGCAGATGATAACACATTGGTTTATGCCACATTGACATTGAAAAGTCACATACACACACACACACACACACACACACACACACACACACACACACATTAGTATTTCTGTCAATATCCAGAGAAAAGACCTTTAGCTTTGAGAGAGATGTCAAACACACATGACTATTCTAAAACTTCTTTTCTGATTTGAACAACCAAATTTTATTATCGGGCACAAACACTGTCAGTTGTTTTCATTGACAACCTCAATTTGTTAGAGAAGATGCCTGCCAAATAGTCAAGTGGATAAGCATAGTTTGCTATTCATGCTTTTTTGTCAGAATACTGTCCCATGAGCCATGTGGTTAGCTTATGTGCTTTTCCTTGGGTTGATTGTGGTGGATGCATAGCAGAACTGCTTGGCATGGGTTTCTCATTTAGTCACACAGAGTACTAAGAGGAATGGACTGGAGGTCAAAATTTAATGAAAATAACAGTTTTATTCCAAACTCGCTGGTGCACAGCAGTATGGGCACTGTGGGGAGCCGTGGGTCGATCTGTCCTGATGCTAATGGGTCTCCTCTTGTGTTCTGTTATCAGCTCAAGAAACTGTTCCTACTGTTATGAACAGTGCTTGACCTAGCTGACCCTGTGTGGTTCTGGGAACTCCTAAGGAGCCGTGGATCACTGTAAGAAGTGAAGTTTGAGGTGATGGCATTAGTATGAGGTGGTCGGGCTTCTGTGTATGGATGGCCACATCCTGTTGGAAGTGTTGTAGTGCTGAGCTGGAGGGCAGGGCCTTGTGAGGGATCCTTAGTGTAGGCTTTCTCACTTCTGCCATGGGTGATCTTTTCATTGACATTACTTAACAACTGAACCCATCCGTCATCCATTGCCATTCAGTTGATTTCTAGCATTTCCACTTGATATTTCCTAATAGTTCATTCCCTTTGGTGATATTTCCCATTCATTAATGCATGGTATTTACTTTTCTACTAAAACAGGGTATGGGGGAATTTAAAGAGACAGAGAGCCAATATTTCATCCTGGGACGGTGTAGTCTTGGTTCTACTCTTCGTCTCTGCTGTGAGGGGCAAGCATCCACAGGCAGTGAGGAGGGATGGTGTGGCATATTCTAGCAGAACACGTAGGCATAGGCAACCAGGCACCAGGCTAGACTGGCCACAGGCCACCTTTTCCTGCAGGACACAGCAGCATCTGGTTTTGTGGGTGTCTTTGTGACTTCTTGGTGTGTAGTTTTTCTTGCTTTTGCATGTGTTTGAGAAATTTTGCTTAAAATGTTAAACTCATGTTTGAATACATCTTGGCAAACTTTTGTTTTGTGATGAAATGCCTAAAATTAAATATTTTAGATGTTATGGACCTTATCAGTGGCTCACAGCTCCTCAACTCTACCAAATGGCAGGCCAGATACAGATAATATGTGAGCTTGAACTCTGCCTGCTTGTATCCTAAGAAATAATTATGTGCAAAAGCTGATGTAAGACTCGGCTTGACATATGCAGGCTATGTAGACTGAGGTTGACAGTACCTCTGACCCAGAGCGAGGCCACCTTCTCTCTCATTAGGCTCTTAGAAGGGCCTTGAATCAGCCCAAGATAGGAGGTTTGTTCAGTGCAGTTGTTGCTATGGTTACTCAGATATTACCTTGTGTTGAGTGCATGCCTGGTTTTCAGGGAGATCTATTATCAGTATCCCCAGCCCATCTTTGGTTCTAGCATTCTGGCATTGGCCCTGGCCCTGTTGTAGAATCCTGTTTGGTGGCCTCCTGGTTGTAGGTAGGTGATGGCTTCTTTTTTTGTTTCAGCTTCATGTGGATTGGTCCCTGACTCTAGAGGTAGGATTTTACAATTGTCCTGATTTTCCTAGTGGGGATATGCCATGGTCCAGACATAGAACTGCTCCTTGCTCCTGTCCCAGAGGGGAACACAGGGTTTAGTTCTACTTCCTCCTCCACCCCAGTGAACCTTTGCCAGTGGCCTGAGGGTGGCACGCGTTGCTATCCCACTCTTAGTGCAGAGGGTCCCTGAAGCAGTGACCCCCTCTCTTCTGGATTGCATCACAGTGGGGTCTTTCCTATCCTCTGGGAGTACCCAGTAAGGTGTGTAGGGGAGAGCCTGGGTGAGATGTGGGAGACTGTCCAGATCAAGGTGTGTTCTCTCCTTGCTCGCCCAGATTTTGTGAGCTCACCTCATACCTGCCTGTAGCTCTCGGATACTCTGGCAGAAAGCATCAGATGACCCTGTTGAACACTCTTGCCATCCTCCTGTGCCTGTCTCTGGGAAAACAGGTTCCAGTCATGAATCTCCAGGGCTGGATCCATCTTCACTTGTGATATCAGCTCTGTGATGGGCTTAAGTCATAACTTGTGAATTTATCTGCTGCTTAGGATAGGGAGGGACTCTTTAGTTTTTTAGCTTCCGAGTTGAAGCAGAGTGAGTTTTGATGTAGCACATGCTTGGAGGGCATATTGGTGGTCAAAAGCTTGGAGTGACCAATTTGGTCTACTTGTAGGTTGAGTGCCTCTATGTTGGTTCCTATCAAGGTGACTACGTCTGCCTTGACGTTCAGAACTCGGGACCCTAGAGCTCATGTAGATGGCAGTGCTTTCACAGGCTTTGTATACCTCAGTCTGATGTCCAGGCTTATGTAGCCTCATGCTGACTTTAGCTGGCTAGGAGAGGTGTTGACCTCTCAGGGCTGGCTCCTGGGTTTTGGTAGGTCATCTTGGATATCTTCTGTGGACTTATGCTTGGTGGACCATGTCGCAGGTTTCTACCATAGCTGAATAATCCAGTCCTGAGGACTTCTTGCTTATGGACAAAGGAAGAAGTATTAGCTGCTAACACAACTGGTTTCTATTTCAGGGAGACCATTCACGAATGTCTTTTAAGAAAAGGTTTCCCTTAAGACACTACAGAAAGAGAAAAGGTATGTGATGTAGATGATGAAGAATTAGAAATATATGCACTCTTTTAAAAACTCAGCTGCTGCGTGAGAATGTGTTATAAGATCCTGTTGTGAACAACTAGTGTACAACAGGCTAAGCTTGTCTCTTGAAAAATAATTTAGAATATGCGGAGAATGCATCATAGGGAAAAGTTCTAACTTTCTGCCTAACTTGTCCTCTTTCTACCATAAAACCGCCACAATAATATCACTAAATTATGCATTCCTTTCCTAGTCTTTCATAATATTATTACTTACACACACACACACATATATATATTGCATTTGTAGTTTATTTGCTGGCATTTTAAGATAGGGTCTAACATGACCTACTATGGTCTTGAGCTTCTAATTCCATTGCCCCCAACTTCTAAGTGCTGGGATCACAGGGCTGCACTACCAAGCAGGTTTGCATTGTTGTTGAAAACCAGTTTTTTAGTGATGTCTGCTGTCCTCTGTTTCCTGGTGCACCACAGTAGCCACCAAGGGTAGGAAAATGACATACAACAGTATTGAATGCCATTATGCTTGGGGTAATGTTTGGGGGACTATAAAAACCCTTTAGCAGTGTTTGCTGGTTCACAGATAAGGACACTGAGGCAGAGAGGTTAGACACTCAGCCTGCATTACTGAACTGGAAGGTGGCCAGAGCTCACTCTCAGAATCTGTCATCTGAGGTGTCAATTTCTTGCCATGAGGAGAAATAAGAAACTCATCAGCCCAGTGTGCACATGGTGGCCAAACTCTCCATCCACAGCGTTGCGCTCTCTGAGTGCAAGTAATGCTCCTGAATCAAGCACCCACAGTCCCTCTTTTTAAAAATATAGGGCACAGCGATGAATGTCCCCCATGAGACTGCTTAGCAGAAGGTCACTGGACACCATGGGGCACTGTTTCTTATCTCTCTCCACTTTGCGTATTTATTAGATGGCTTCTGGTGTGAGAAGGGAGGACAGACATAGGAGGATTATCACTGTGTGAGGGAGGTGCAGACTCTGCTGAGTATAGGTGTAGGCGAGCTGCACTCTCAGGCACGTGGGCATTGGCTGGCCTCCCTTAACATCCGTTGGTCAGAGTCAGATGGGATAAACACGGGATAAAATCTTGAAGGAAGAGGTGGCAAGGAGGAGCAACATGCTCTCCCGTTGAGGTGGGGGCCTTGGATCTTGGGGTACAAGAGGCGGCATGGCAACACCTGGACTGGGAGAGAGAGGGGAGGTGAGTGTGTGAGAGGGAGGGAGGGACGCAGTGGGGGGGGAATCTTTGTGGACACTGACTTCCTGGAGCATCATACTTACAGAGTGCATGTTATTTTGGCTTTTAATGCTAACATTTCATTATATTTGTTGACATTCCGTTGACCACGCATAGAATTTGCAGTGAACCCCGAGTCGCCTTTGGTTTTCAACTCTGCCTGGTAACGTTGGAGACGCATGCAGATAAGATTATCAGACAACCTTTTTGTGTTTTTAAGAAATGAGGTTTACAAAGTGGACCCCTCAGATATTAAGACACGGAGGTGGTATTTGCACCCAGTTGGAGGAGAAGTGCGACTCTTGGTCTCCAGAAATGAGCCCACTTGTCACTTCAAGTAAGTCCTTGATGAGGCGGCCATTCAGCTTCGAACTGGGTCTGACCTGTTTCTCTTTGGTTTGAGCTTTCATTGAGGAATGTTTCCAGGTGCCTCAGGGACACAGGTGCTTGAGCAAGGTCTTCCCGCAGCCGCTCCCTCCACACCTACACTGCCCTTTTCCAGAGCACCCATGAAGTCCCACGTTATGTGTGTTGAGCTTAAATTAGTAAATCATGCGTTAAATCTTTGGCTATAATAACTTGAAAAACTGGTACGGACCCTAAGATGCCTTGCTGAAGACTATTCTCATCCTACTGGGGAGAGAAGAGTTTGTCCCTCGCAGACTCCATGGTCAGTACATTCCCATACTGGCTTGCTATTGGGCTTGTGTCTCCTGGGGCTGCCTCTTTGGGTAGTTCTTTTTTTTTTCCCTTTGGGTAGTTCTATACTGTTCACCAGAGCAGCTGTTGGCCAGATGCTATGAGTTCTTATGATTATTTCCAAGTGCCCAGCTGCCCTGAGGGCGCCACAAATATCCCTGAAGTTCATTTTCAGTCTCCAAGCTCTGGAGTAGTTTTTCACCCAGGCGTGTTAGACAGGGCTGCTGCAGGCCATCAGCTACACTGAGGCCTTCAGAAATTGTGGCCCAGAACTAAGATTTATTTGGGAGTAGGGGATCCACCATTTCACATTTGACCTTAAAAATTCTTCTTTCCTGCAGCTGTTAGCGGCCATCTATCCTCTCAGATGTGGTCCTGGGCAGGACATGTGACTCCCAGTTCTAACTTGTTTACCAAGCACCACACACTTTATATTTTGTGATATCTGCAGGTTCCGTTTTCTCCATGAGAAGGAGGCAGTTTCAAGACCTGAAGGCTAATTCAAGGCAGTAATAAGTTTTCCTTAGTTCAATGGGGATAATTTTTGGCTGTATTTTATTGTAGTTATTTTGGGGAATTAGGAAGTGCAAGGATAGACAGAAAGCAGAAACCAATGAGATAGACAAAAGGACATTTTTCCTCCATTGGG